ATTTTAAAAAGAATCATAAATTTATAGTATCTGTCATCACCCATTTCCTGATAACAGAGCCTGGAGTCTTTTCATGGTTATTACAAGCGATTTCATTGGATACAAATTGGTTTGTTATAATGCTTTCTGGCCGAAATCTGCTACAAGGTTCGTGATCGGTCAAATTTGAGCACATGACCTAAGGCAGCCAATCAAATTACAGCTATGGTACAGTCCTCGTCTATGATGAATTTCAGATTTTGACGAAAGATTTTTGTTTAATCGTGCTATTCTGAACATTTTAAGCAGGAAATCACCATCCATTTTTAAAATATGGAGCGTCGTGGATGTAACGTGCTAGGTTACGAGCTGTCACAAAGATTTTTCATGCATATATTTTGGCATTAAACTCGTGTCCTAGCCGGAATTCAAGGCGACGAATGCTGAGATGTCATATGATTTACATTACATGTGATCGCACGAAAAGATGGAAATAATAACTTAGCTGTAAGTTAAAGATATTTTTTTGTTGATTTTATTTATTACTTTGTATACTAGATTTAAAGATTTGCCTTAAACGTCTTAATTTTGCTGTTTGACATGTTCCATGGGGACATGTTGTCAAAGTGTGTGTCAGAGAATTTTATTTTCAATAACATTGCAGGAAATAGTTATTAATATGTTATTCTATCGATAAAAAATGATAAATTGAAACGGAATACGTATTTCAGACATTGTGAAATGTGATAGATTTAGTTAAATGAACGATATGATTGGTAGGTCTATAAAATTATAAACTATATTGACGTGACTATGGCTTGGCCAGTCTACCGGCCTACAGTGTCTGGGGACTTGATGCTGAAAGAGTTCAACAAGTTAAATTTAAAAACACAAAATCATCACGATATGTAATTGTTTCAATTTCATATTGCGGTTTACCAGTCGGACAGTCTATCAGACGTCTGGTATGTAAACAAGATGGACCAAACAACGTCATGGCTGACTCCCTATCCCGACCTACCATCACCAACAGAATGACATCTAAACCTGCTTATCTTCCGCTGGATTTTCCAAATTTACCCAAGCCAAGACGTCAACCTCTTTGCAACCAGGTTCATCGCTCAACTACTCTGGTTTCTCCTTCCCATCCCAGATCCTCAGGCTTCGGACCATAACGCATATGCCTTCCCCCGACCAACATTCTTCCTCAGGTCCTTTAGAAAGCGCTGTCCACCAACCACCTTCGACTTCACCTTGGTAGTGCCCTATTTGCCAACTCTGGGTTGGTTCACAATACTCGTACAACTCGCAGAAAGAAAGTTCCACCATCTTCCACTGATGGACGATATCTTACTCCAGCTTCACTCCTACCTGTTCCACTCATCGCCCAAAATTCTCAATCTTTGCATCTGGCTCACCTCGAAAAATCTGTTGTTGCTTTGGGGTATTTGAAGAGAGTCGCCAAGACCTTTACTGAGGCGCATTACCAAGACCCTCTACGACCACAAGTGAAAGCATTTAAAGCTTCTTATCATGCTCGTAACAACACTAAACCGACCACTGTTCTCACAGGTTGCAAAATGATTTGTGATCAACTGGGAGGTTTAAAGAGTCCACTTTGGCTTCCTATCTTGCTGCAATCAACTCTGTCATTGCCACTACAACCGGATCGAAGATCTCTACGGTTGCTGAGCTATTGTCCCACATTTGATCCTACTAGTTGGCTGACCAGTCATCTTGATTCTGGCCACCTATTTGGGATCTTAACGCCATCCCCCACCATTTGACTTCTGCGGACATTTTTTCTGTCTTTAAGACTTTTTTTTCTCCTGGCCATTATATGGAGGGATGTTTTGAGAAGTAAGATACCGTCTTGGCTTCCCAATTTCCCTATGACATCTCCGTCACCTATGTTCAGGGCCTCCACAAGTTCGGTCCCATGGTCCTGGCGCCACAACTGATAACTGCACACCAGTGCAGATAGACGATGCGTGTACCCACTACTGCAATCAATACTCCTGATATCAGTACTCTGTATCCTGTACATACAGAATAAAACTTGGAACTATCACTCCTGTATTTATTGTCTTTATTATTCGGGTTCCCAGACAAGAGTACCCATTGGAGGTTGTGACATCTCGTCTGCAGAGACTCTTCTACATCAAAGTCGCTGCAAGGAGCAGCCGGTTCGGCGGTTACCCAAGCCCTTACCTGCCCACCTCTGCCTTGTTTGTGTGATGTATCAGTAGTGGCTCAAAGACCCTCTTATGGATATTGTCAATCATTCTTCTGCGTGTCTAAGCATGTTTCAATCCCTCGGGCGTGATTGATAGGTTTGAAGAAGCGTTAAAAGAGATGTCGAGCTGGCTTATTCTGTTTGAACGATTGACTGGATTGGCTATTCACAACTCCACAGTCATTCTTGAAACAATGGCATACGTGAAAGCCCGAAACACATGAAATACCCGATTTCATGCTGTTTCGTCCGACTAACGTACAGGGATCATATTGTGGGTTGTGTGTTTTCCCACTCACAAGTTATTGTTTTTACAACACTAGACAGTATTTTAAATTTATTTATTTGTGTCACTGTTTAGCACCGGCTTTGTAGTCTATTCGGGCTAAAGTATCTGTGCTCCATTGTCTGTGGGATACATGCACAGCAGTGTGAGATAGGATAAGTTTCAAAATTTGTGAATTTTACATTAAATTTTATGCCCTCCTGACATGCTATGTGCCCTCCCAACTATCCCCGCATCACAGCTCCCCTAGCCTATACTCATTCGATGAAAGACAATGAGTTGCAAGGGCAGCTAAGTGATCGCATCGTATAGGTCGCTATGCAGGAGATTTACGGTACATGACCCATTTGTTTGAGTGGTGATGCTTGGATGTGTTCGGATGAACTGTTTTTAGAAGCTGGAAACTTTGTTCAAGCACGTTTCCACAGAAAGACAGAAAGAAGAAGGAAGAAATGCATAGTGTTAGATAGGATAAGCATTATAAATATACAATTTAATGTAAAATTTACAGTTTGTTTTCTATATCAATAGACACTACAGTGTATTATGCTACAGCTCTGAAGTGCCTGTGCTAGCTCTTCTCATCAGCATACTATGTGATATGCGAGTTTGGAAGAGACTGATGGCTGCAGCGGCAGTGCTATGCCTGCCCATTGTATTGATCTGAAGATGTTGTCTGCTTCACTCTAGCAGAGTCTGGTGAAGTGGCAATGATTATGTCCAGCCACCTGGAAATGTCAGCCAGTCAAGGCTGGCTGTCCCGGGCAGAGCACTGCTCCACCCAACCCCAGCCAACACAACACAAATCAGCTTGAGTACCGATATGCAAAGCCTAATGAAATCTTACAAGTATATGTGTAATTACAAAAAGAACCAAAATATCTGATTTTCTGATCTAATTCAATATTGAACATGTTGAATAATGGAGGGTATGGTTTATGGCACTTGAAACGAAACTATAGTCTTTAATCTACAACACAGGTGTTTTTAGCCACTGATCTGAAGACCCCAATCAAATAAATTATCTGACTAGGTAATTTATGCAAAATGACCAAGTTTTGATAATTTGTTTTTGTGAAATCAGAAAAGTGACATATTACTTTCTTTTTCTTCTTGAACATACATCTAGTGTAAAGTATGCTGAGTTGAAAGATATGTTTGAGAGTAGACTTTGTAAACCAATATTGATTTTCTCAAAATAGACTTGTTTTGTCAGTGGATTGTGTAAGCCTGTTGTAGATTATGGACTTGTACAGTTTACTAAATAAACTAATGGTATTAGATTTGTTTATTAGGTTAAACCAATTGATTGGGAGCGAATTCCCAGATGTTCTGTTCATGTCATATCTTCTGCTATAGTCATGATAGTGTCATATTTAGATGTGATTATCAATACCACCAAGAGTGTTTGTGTACATGCAACACTGTAGAAGCTATACCTGGCCCAATAGTCAGTTTTGCAGTTGACTTTTTCACATATATGCTTTTTATGGCAAATCCAACATGCAAGATATTTATTTGTTGATCCCATATTAGGTTTCATTATGCTTATCACAGCTTATGAAACTTTCAAATAGACAAAATATTTTTTGTAATTAGAATATAGAATAGATGGCTTACTTATTTTGCTTATTGTTCTTGTTTTTCATGTGTTTAGAAATAAACAAAAAGTACACACTAATCATGCAAATAATCTATGAATGTGTTATTATGGTATTATGTAGGTGTTGTGTATGCATAGACATGTTGAAACCATGCAAAATGAATCTAAAGACTCTTGTTAAATAGAAATGTGCATTTGGTGATGTGTTATTTTGAAACAGTGTGTGGGTACGAAACTGTATGAGAAACACAATTTCATAAAACAAGGTTTCTAAACCAACAGCAGTTGAAGTCTGTATTTGATGAAGCAAGTCCAATGTACAGAAAATGCCCATCCATTTGGCTCGGTGAATCTGCTGTTATTTCAAGTGGCTGGTATCATAGCAGTAGGCTATGTACAAAAGTAAACAACTTAACCGATAGTATGGCATACAGTTAAAGCCTTGACAGATACAACTCCTAGTTGGTAATGTTGATAGGCAATGTTGCCCCCTGGTCAGTTGGGTGTCTAGTTACGTTATTGATTACATGTCAGCTGTTTTGTGTTAGGCTCCATGTGAGACCTTCAATCATGTTGCCTGGCTTGGCAACCAGTAATTAGCATGATCAGGGTTATTTGAGTGTGATGTCTGAGTATAGAAACTTATTATTTGTTAACATAATGACGTGAGATGCTGATGGTGGTGAGGAGATGCTGATGACAAGATTGTAGTTAATGATGGAGTAACAAAATATATTGAGTGAGCGATATATCAAGATGTTTCAGCACTGTTAATGGAAGTTTGAATCTTTTAGTTCTGTGACAGTGAAGTAAAATGGTCTATGAATTATGTATGCACATGGAACATTACTTGGTTATTGTGTAAGTGTGTCTGATCAATAATGTTTGTATTGCAGATGATCAACCGTGTAGAGTATGTTCACAACAAGAACTTCATTCACAGAGACATCAAGCCCGACAACTTCCTCATGGGTATTGGGAGACATTGTAACAAGGTGAGACTGAAAGCTACACTTGTCACATGCTGTGTCAATGATAATTAACATGCATGCATATTAATTTACATGTTCCACAATCTGCTGTTAGATGGAAATGTACTTGTGTACTTAAATGGAGTGTTTATTTGAGAAATAAAACCAATGAGAGTGTCTTCTCTGCAAGAATAGATTGTGTCCAAATCAAAATTCTTATATGATCCCTGATTCATGAACATTGTGATAATCTTGATAAAATGGCTGCTATGGAGTGTATTCTATGTTAAGTTGTTGCTTCCATGGCAATGCCCCTGATACCTTTTTGTATCGTATTGACACATTACTTCAAGGCAGTAATTGGCATATGTCTGCACCTCCCAGCATAACTGTAGCATCTGCATGATACAAGTAACTTTTCATTCAATTTTGTCTTGTTTCAGGTGTTTATCATAGACTTTGGCTTAGCTAAAAAGTACCGAGACAATCGCTCCAGACAGCACATACCTTACCGAGAAGACAAGAACCTGACAGGCACTGCTCGCTATGCCAGTATCAATGCCCATCTGGGTATAGAACAGAGTCGTCGGGATGACATGGAGTCTCTTGGCTATGTCCTCATGTACTTCAATAGGGGATCTTTACCATGGCAAGGGCTGAGAGTAAGTTCAATTTGGTTTATTTTGAAATAATGATTAATAATAATCTTCATTTGTAAAGGTCAAAGGTCATCTTTTGCCCTTTTATCTGCGAGCCTGTTAACCTAGTTGTAATACTTGCCGATATTAACTCAGTAGTCTAATGATTGATGGCATTCAGCAGCATTAGAAATAGGCACTAGTCCTATAGTCCTTGCCAAACTGACAAATAGTTAAGGGATCCTAAGGGCTAGTAGAAATTTGCCCTTTTTAAGAGGTTTGCTATATGTTATCATTATAAGGACTAGTGGGCTAAAACTATTAGTTTCTATCGCTGCTTTCAGTAGCCATGTTAATGCTTAATTCAATATGAGCAGCTAGGGTTGTTTTGTTTTTTAATTTATGAAATAAGTTTTTGCATGTTTATTTGTTGTTTAATGACGCACTCAGCAATATTCCAGCCATATGAAGGCAGTCAGTAATTAATTGAGTCTGGACCAGACAATTCAGTGATTGACATCAAGAGAATTGATCTACGCAATTGGGATACAATGACATGCATCAATTAAGTCAGTGAACTTGACCATCAGATCCCATTAGTTGCAAGCATGGGTTGCTGAAGACCTTTTTTAACCCGTTTGTTCATGGGTGTATGAAATAAGTGAGTAGCTACGCAATTCAACACAACTACCCCAGTTGATAATCATATCAGATAAAACAATAGATCAGATCAACAAATGTATTAACGACACCCTTTCCTGATGCCAATCTTTATCTGTGTTTGTACATAGGGTATGATTCACTGTTCGTGTGACACCTGTAGTGTTGAGATGAGACAGCTGCAGCGTAACAAGTGCTGATATGCATATAACAATTATTAGCTTGCTGTGCTGTTGTTGAACAGGTTTTTAAGGGTTGGTGGACTTTTCTTATGTTTTGTATAATCTTACTTGAACAGGCTGCCACAAAGAAGCAGAAATATGAGAAAATTAGTGAAAAGAAGATGTCAACGCCAGTCGAAGTCCTCTGTAAGGTAAGGGATAATCCAACTTCGGAAATTAATTGCACTGAACAGTGGATAGTAGTTCAGCTGTTTGTCTGATCCACGCTGTGTTGTTACAGGTCAGTGATATTTCTGACTGAATTTTTTTAAATATCTACAGCGACAAGAGTCATCAGAACATAACAAATCTCCTGCCCCCCACAATAGCAAAAGGCACATCTTTAGCCCCTAGTTAATACATGTACATGCACAAGTTTTGATGAAAATGTTTTCAAGTTATGCTCCGGAAATGAAATATGGACGAACGGACAGACAGACCAGATGATGACTATATACCCTGTATTATATGCCGGGGGGATAATAAGTTGAATGTATCGGTAATCATACATCACTATGTGCATCACCTTAGCTGTCACCATATGACCCACATAATGTTACAATCGTGTAAAGTTACGGATGTAAAATGTCTTGTGTTGTGCAGGGTTTTCCAGCTGAGTTTGCCATGTACTTGAACTACTGCCGAGGCCTACGTTTTGAAGAGGCTCCTGACTACATGTACCTGCGACAACTGTTTCGGATCCTGTTCCGGACACTCAACCATCAGTACGACTACGTGTTTGACTGGACAATGTTGAAGCAGAAAGCCTCCCACCAGGCAACACAACAACAGATTACTTCTACTGGTGTGTAGGATTTGGCACTCTGTTCAATCGCAATACAAATTTGATACTTGAACGTTTTACCTGTGAAATTGTTTTGCCAGATCTGAAAAGACATATTTGGCAAACAAAATAAATACTTAGAACTGATTCACTTACTCAAGTGTTTTGTAAACATTTACTGATTAATCATTGTCACTCAAGGATCAAATCATGAATGTGAATAGAAAAAATCTAATTAAATAAAAAACGATCAGTATGATGGAAAATATTTTTACTTATTTAATATTATAGTTTGCAACATAAAAACATCTATGATAAGACAAGGAAACATTGCAACAACAAACAAGCCTTAAAACTGTATCTGTAATTTGTTATTAAAATGATAAAATATAATAGGGAAAATAAAATCAGTCTTAGATTTCCTGAATGAATCATCAGGTGGAAACTAAATATGATCGATCATCAATGAAGTTTTTGGTGTACGTTATTTATTTTCCTGTGATGTGTATTGATATCATCCTGTTCTTTCAGCGAAGTGAATGGACGTTGCGGATATACCAGGCAGCATTGTCCCGAGGCTTAACTCACTACCACCCACCTCAAGTCATGTGTGTGTGGTTTGAACAGTTTCATCATAAACAAGTGGATGTATATTGATGTCTGAGAGAAAAACTGTCGATACCAACATAGTCGGCCGATCAACTTATCATCTACCAACCCTGTTTTCTCACATAGATTCATCTTTCCGTTACCAGAGGGGTTTTCACACAGAGTATCAGCTCTTGTTTTTTGTTATTTGAGTTATTTTGTAGTGTGCTAATTGATTGTTGAAACTGCATAGTCTTATTAAACCGAGGCATGACATTAACTATAGGAAAGCTAGATAATCAGGTTTCTTAATTTTGCTATCAGGAGCAAATTTGTTTATTGGTGAGGCAGCTTGTTGACCAAATTCTGGAGGAGAAAATGTATCTTGAAAATGCTGTGACGAGACACAAGTTGAAAGATGAGTGAATTTGAAAGTGCAAATTTTTGCTATTTATTGAAAATTCTTTGTATTTGTGTTTGTCGTGTTTGGAATAACAGGTATGTCAGATTGAAGGGCTGAAACTCATCAGTCATATTCCTTGTAAATCAAGTTGGCATTCTTTGTCCACTTTTTCTTTATCATACATAGTTTGAAACACACACTAACTACACTAACTTAAGATGTGTATTGGCGATATTAACACACTTTAACAAGAAATCCTTTATCTTCACAAATACAAGGGTGGGTGATTTGATTGTTTAGTTCTGTACATATGCAAGAAATTATAATTAAAAATGTCACAAGTACTTTTTGTTTATAGTGTATCATAATGAAGCTTATTTGACTTCACCTTTTCCTTAGATTGAAAATAGAATTTGGTTACTTAGGACTTGGAAAACAATGAGAAGATTGTTGGGATTAAAAATTCAATATTTTAACATTTCTTCCCCACCCCCATCTCTGTTGTGAGTCAATGTCCCATGTCAGCCATCTACATGTACCTGAACCATCCATCAGATCAACATGGGTTTGAAGTCACCATCATAAGGTGGGTATTATCAGTAATATGGCAATTCACTCAAGTCCTTTGTCATTGATACCAAAACAAAGTCTCTTTCTCTTTCCTTTTACAATGTACAGTTATGTATTTAACTTGTTGAATTTTACCAGTCATTGTTATGTATTTTGTGTGTAATATATTTGTATATTATTTTAAATATTGAGTTTGGTTGGATGTTGCTGTAAATATTTCTAGAGTAGGTGCAGACGTTTTTTTTGGGCAAGTTTGACACTGGGATGAAAGGGATGTACTGGAACAACACATCTGTAGAGGACGCCTGTATGTAAGATTATTATGCTGTTAGCACAGGCTCATCTGCCATGGATGCTGATCATATAGCAAACAGGAACTGTATGGTTGTGAAACAAGGAATGGAACCAACATTTATTGACTACTCACATTTCCTGTACAAGCAAGGTGTATTGACATACTACTGGCATGCTTTTGACAGTTGTACAAAGGCCCATCAATTGCACTGGTGGAAAAATGACCACTTTGTCTCTGGGAAGCATCCATGGAAGGAGGTCTGATGCGTATGTGTTATTCCTGTGTTGCCAATGCTGAGCTATTATTGTGGATTAGATATACCAGGGATACTGAATAATCTTTTTGTATGTGTGTAAATATTTCTTGGTTTGTCAAGTGAGTCACTTGGCGGAGTGACATTTATGTGTAAGATACATAGTATGGATTTGTGTTCTAAAATATTTTGGAGTACTGTTTGAAGATGTATGTATCTAAATGTCTCTAATGCTAGCTGTAATATACTCTTGAGTGTCTTTTGTAAGTATACATATAGAGCTGCAAGTACAAAATCAAAGAGTGAAATGCTTGTTCAGATAACCCCTGGATTCTCCTTAGTTACTAACAACCGCCTGTAGAATCAGGGAGCTGTGAATGTCTGCCTTCCACGCAGCTGAACCTGAGGTCATTAAACAGGTCTACATTTTGTCATTTGTTTTCCTTTTGAAGAAATGCGTAAAATGATCTTTACACTACCTCAAAGGTTGTTGAAATAATATCTTATTCTGTCAATATCCTCCAGTTCCTCTTCAATGACCTCAGGTATCACATCATGTGAGATGTCATACTACATTTTGCTTCTGTTCTGACAATTTGATGCAGCCTCAAATTGAGCCAGTCAGTGTTGGAGAGTTTGTGATTTCCTTTTATGGTTCGAACACTATCCAAAGTAATCATGTCAAATGTTTCATGTTATGAGAAAACATGATTTGAACCTGCAATGACGATCACTTCCACCCAAGTATTGAACTGGCATTATAACATAATTTTGAAGGTTGAAATGTTAAAGCAGTCTGATGAACTTTATTTTATCAGAAAAAAACCAACAGTGTAATATTGTTATTTTAAGGTTGCAGCTATCATTGAATTTGATAAATAAATGATTGATATAAGATTGTTATTGTGTTTAATGCAGAATTTATTTATTCTGATTGGTTGTCTGTTTTCCAGATGGCATTTAAAACACATTATAAAGCATGTTTGAACATATTTAACTGTATATTGGGTAAAGTCAAAAATGATTCCTAAGGAATTCTTTGACCGAAGTATTTGTCCTATTTTCGCACATAACATTCATCGACAGAGTAAACGAGTCTTCTTGCAGGTTACGTGAAGTTGGGTATTAACGCCACTTTTAACAGTTATATCGTGGCATGTCAGCTTAATGTGGGATGAAAGCCAGAAGTGATGCAGGTTTCAGACATTTACCACTTCGGTATGGTGCTGACAAACCTAGAAACATAATCGGGGCAAACCGGGATTGAAACCCACATGCAGGGGTATGGTGCTGACAAACCTAGAAACATAATCGGGGCAAACCGGGATTTAAACGCACAATCATAGGTTTCTCGCGTGCCCAAGGGACGCAACGACTGGGCCACCCGTGCACCCAGGGTAGTGGTGACAAATGACACTATGTGGAAACTTTGTTTGAGCATAGTTTCCAGCTTCTAAAAACAGTTCACCTGAAAACACCTAGCATCACCATACAACTGGGTCACGCACATGCTCCTTTTGCATAACAACTTATACGACCTAATCACTTGTTCACCTCTGCTATAACGTCCGAGCTGGAGGAGCTGAGGGTACATTGCTTGTGAGATACGATAAGTTTGGAAAATTTTCAGTAAATTGTATATTTAATCCCACAGATGGAAGATGGGGAGCAGATACCCTAGCCTTTATTATACATGTTCAATACAACTGTGAGACGTGCATGTGAAATAAATAAAACTTTTTAAGACACTGCCAATGACTCGTGAATGGGAAAACACACCAAAGGCTGTGATATGATCCCGATATGCTCATCAGACGTAACAGCATGAGACTAGGCATAACGTGATTGGGTACTGGGCGGAAAGTATGATAACTGTGTAGCTGTAAAGAAGGGAGCGATACAGCATATGACTTACAATCGAACCGGAAAGGATCACCAGCCAATCGATTCTACAAGACAGGATGCAACACTATCTCCCATAGACAATATAGTAGACTGCTCAGCATATCTTTTCACGCTTCGTCAGAGCTATCAATCATGCCTGAGGGATTGAAAAATAGCCAGATGAGAAGAGGTGAGTGAGTTTAACAGTATTCCAGTTACATCACGGCATGTCAGCTTAATGTGGGAGGAAAGCCAGAAGTGATGCAGGTCTCATACGTTTACCACTTCTGTGAAACCCATGAGCACGGGTATGGTGCTGACAAACCTAGAAACATAATCGGGGCGAACCAGGATTCGAACCTACAATCATAGGTTTCTGGCGTGCCCAAGGGACGCAACCCTGCACAGCAATTTTGCGGTGCCTTAGATGACTGGGCCATCTGTAAATGAGAAGAGGAACAATCGTCAATATCCACAAAGTGGATCTTTGAACCTATACCTGTCAACGCAAGTACAAGCAAGTGAGCAGAATAACATAAAGAGACAGGAATCGCTGAAAAACGGCCTTGGCTTCGAGACGAAGACAGAAGTCTCTACAGACAAGCGAATCTATCCGCCAACTGGGTTAACATTCTGGGAGCCCAAAACTAAAATAATTAACAAAGAACACAGGAATGAAAAACATCAAGATTTTATTCTGTATGTACACAAGGCGTAGAACAACGAACTGCTCAGCTCTCCATTAGAGAGCTGCTGTGCCAGGACCAACGGCCTTGGATGTCTGTGACATAGAGAGGACATGATAGTGGGAAGCGAAGACTGTCCGACTTCCAAAAACAGCCTTCCATAATGGTGGAGTGAGAACAGTTGTTATGTAAGGCCATGGTAAAAGTGACAGCTCATTGGGAGCGAGATGAAGACTCTTCCAGGAGCGCTGAAGAGGTCTTTCATTTGCCAAGTAGATTCGGAGGGCTCGTACCAGACCAGGAGAGATCTTCAAAGTCATGGATGACGGATTCGTCAATAGTCAATATCCATCTGGTTGTTCTGGAAGCTGGTTCCTCACTAAGAAATCCAAGAAAGAAAAACCTTCCTGTTCTCTGATTGTTCAAACTGTCAACATCCAAAGCATAGGCCAGTAAGAAAACAGGTCTTGAAAGTGATCAAATCGAACTCCTTGCCATCCAGTGGTTCATAATTGTCCGAAGTGAAATGACAAAGGATGACGTTAACATCCCAGGTTGGAGGATCAATCCCATTATAGTAGCAATGACAGAGTTCATCGCAGCTAGATAAGTGGCCAAAGTAGATCCCTGAAGCTTTTTTCTGTGTAGATTTCAAATGCTGAAAGTATTCGGCCATCAGTTGCAGAGAAACAGTGGTGGGAGTGGATATTGCATGTTCGACAATAGGCCTCAAACACCTACCACTTATGGTCTTAGTTGAGGAACGTTGAGTTACCTGCTTGGAATATCCTTGGCAAGGAGGGACCACTGTAGATGAGCCAAATGCAAAGATTGAGTGTCTTAAGCGACTGGTGTAGCAGCTGGGAGGTGAGGCTGCAGGTGAACATCATCTTGCAATAGAGGTCAATGAAACCTTTCGGAGAGCCAGACCAATGTGGAAAACCAATTCGAGTTGTCCTAAACAGAGGGATCGAAATCAGTGTGATTCTGAAGTACCCGAGGTATTAATCCGATCAGGGATGGAAGAAAAGAATCAGGACAGCTGAGTGTTTAACCTTGTAGCGAACAGATCAACTTGAGCAGATCCAACTGAAAAACCAACGGATTGACATGCCATTCCGTTGTTGACGGTTGGTTGAGTTAGGAAAAGGAGTCGGCTATCACAGATTGAGTGAGTGATTGAGTATGGTTTTACGCCGCTTTTAGCAATGTTCCAGCAATATCATGGCGGGCGACACCAGAAATGGGTTTCACACATTGTACCCACGTCAGGAATCGAACCCGGGTCTTCGGCATGACGAGCGAACACTTGAACCTGACCGCCCCTCGGCTATCACAGAAACCACTGGAATTTGTCTCGCTTGAACCTGAATGTTAAGGGAGTCTATGAACCGGAAGATCTACCAGGCGACTGAGCAATTGTCCGACTGAATAAAGAGGGGTGAAGATCAGAGATGCCCTGACTGCTAGGACTCAGACACAAACATTTAGTGTTACCAGCCACCATTTGAAGAAGTATGATCGGTATCTGGCAATCGTGGCTCTGAATAAAGGACTGGACAAAGCATTGGACAGACCAAAGGTGAGGGCTTGTGCCGACGTCAAAAGGCTATGGTTCTATTGCCATTGCCGTAACAGGCACAGTTGTTTGAGTGCTAGCGACCATCAAACATGAGGGCCGAACATCATGGTTCTATTGCCATTGCCGTAACAGGCACAGTTGTTTGAGTGCTAGCGACCATCAAACATGAGGGCCGAACATCTTGCCCAAACAGGTTTCTCAAACAGAGGCATACGATGCAAGCAACGTAAATATGGCATCTGAGAACCAGAAGTTGGCGGTCTGGATCAGGCGCTGTTGCGACTTGGAAGTCGCTGGATGATATTTGGCAGACTGATTCACTGTTCATTGTTCATTGATCCTTGGACGTGTGTCAGTAGAGAAGCCGTTCCTTGGAGGAGCCACAATACAAGGAGGTTTGTGCCGATCCAGAGAGGTTCATCGAACCTTGGAGGTGCGTGGCTAATCCTTGGAGTCCTCCATACACCGAACCTTTTCGTGGAGATCGTCGAACCCTGGGAGAGTGTTTTGTGAACACGAATCCCACGAATGTTCATCTAAAGAATGTCTTGATGAGCCTGAGCATTGATCCTGTGAGTGATGAACACCAGGAGAATGTTCTTCCCCACAACGCACTGGGGATATGGAGTGACAAAGGTTGATGGTGAGAAGGAACAATCAGTACTTCGTCGAACCTGAAGAGCAGATGCAAATGCAAAAAAGAGCAGTTCGACTGAGACTACAGTGGAAGAGATGCCCAAGGGAGAGAAACATTTGGCGATATCAGCACTAGTACGGGAAGGTGATGAAGGAGATAAACAAGCAATCCTAGGTGCGAGAGAGGCTTAGACCAGCTGTGAAGGTAATGTAGGGAAGGGCCAAACCTGTGTCAACCACAAGGACTTTCACATGTCCGAAACTGCCAGTTGAGCTGAGGTAGATGTGGACGGCATATTCTTCTCATTGGACTGGTTACAGGAGCGATAGGCGCGTCCTCCGTCAGGAAACTGTTGGACACGCCATCATCGTACTTATATAGTTGAGGCGAAAGGTTCGACGACCACAGAAGAGGTATATGTTTCAATGACTTCTTGACCTTTGTGGTGAATTGGAAGAGCCCTAAGGAGTTTATTCCAGGTCCTTAGATTTGGAAAGATGATCAGACTCTCTACGGTGACATTTATGTAGATATACACTGAAGGATTCTTCAGGTAGATTAGCTCATTCGTAACATTGTGCAGAAGAACTACAATGACCCCAAAGTCATGTGGGTCAGAGATAAAACCTGTCTGCACTTCAGACCCATTTGTTTGGGTACTGACCATTGTAATGCTAGTTGTTGTTTTAGAAGCTGTAAACTTTGTTCAAGAACATTTCCACATATGATCGAAAGAAGAAATGCATTGTGTTTTTAAACTTATCCTAAGTAAATCAACATTTTTAGACAACACTGGACGTCACGATAGCACTCAACAATGGGGAAAAAATGTGAAGAAGCAGACAAGGTGACAGTGTTAAGATGATGACAGAATCTTTTACAGTGTGTTTATAAGCTCATGTGGCCTTAAACCACTTGCACGTTAGGCCAGTATCTCTAAAGCATTCTAATTAGAATTCAACTTCCAATTTATGTTCAGCCATTTCAGATGATGTTAAACAAGAGTCAAGAGGAGGTGACATCTCTCTGGTCTGGTGCTTTAGGAATGGAGTTTGGCTACTTATACCCCACTTTTTGTTCACTGCTATTGGATACCTTCAGTTCAGTGAAGAAAACAATAATGCTGTTCAGTTTTTTTCAAAATCCCAAATCATTAAAAGGCACCATTTCACCACTAGACTGATCTGTATAGCAAGTTTCATCAAGAAATATTCAAAAGTTTTGTAGTTCTTCTCGGAAACGAGCACTAGCCAGTCCAACATGTCGTCATGAAAGAAAAATCCCAAATCATCAAAAGGCACCAGTTTACCACTAAACTGATCTATATAACAAGTTTCAACAATCTCACAAGTCACTATCTCCTTCCAGTGAAATAACACTTTATACTGGGACTTCTTTCAGTGTGCCTTGATGACAGCAAGATCATAAAGATCAGTAATAACTTATTTCATAAAATAGAACAAATATACGATATTTCATGTGTCAAGTGAAATATTCCGTTTCTCTCATCGAGTGACAGTAGCAAAGGAGATATTTCACAAGTGTCATTCACGAGTGAAAATATCTCCTTTCCCCCTATCACAAGGTGACAGAAACAGGATATATCACGAGACACATGGAATACTGTAAATCTTCAAATTAATGTGCGAGTGAATTAAATGCAAAAAATGCGAGTGGTCTTTGTTCACATTAATTAAACTTTGCATTTTTGTCTCCAAAATGTCCATCAATAATAAGACGACCTCACTGCACACTTTAGATAGCAGAAATACCATACTGAATACACATAGACGGTTTATTGAGCAGCAGTTGTAACAAGTATACACATAAGAAAAAGTTAAGCACCCCAGAAATTTGGGAGACCGAGTGTCTGGCATACAGATAGTAGTCAGCCTAGAGGAACCAGTCATACGATGTAAATCATTGTCAAGATAGTACTCATTATCTGAGGCTTCTAACGCATGTATGAAGAAATCCAGTTTCCACAAAAATCGTCGTCTCAAAGCTGAAATCAAGTCTGTAAGCGTGGGATCCTGCGAGATGGACGTAAGAGAGGACAAAATTGTGTACTTTTTATCTGGGCCAAGGGAGGATGGGATCGAAGCCAACCGGTCCGCCATCCAATCCGGTACTTGGTTCAGTCCCAGGTTTGTCCAAGACAAACCAAATGAGCTCGCGGATGGGTAGTCGTATTGCTGGCAGAGGGGAACAACGACAAGACAGATGTCTGGAAGGGAGAAGACCTGACAGTGCCGCAGGGATCCAGTGGCATGCTGATCAATGGTCGAAATCCCAGAGGCGCCAAAGTAGCAGAGGGCGCTGCGGAGGCTTGGTAGGGGATAATAACACCTTAGTGTCGACATGATCAGCGACCTCCGTTGTCGGAGAAGTGTCTATGTGTTCAGCCATCTGGGGATGCCTGCTATGTGTTCAGCCATCTGGGGATGCCTGCTATGTGTTCAGCCATCTGGGGATGCCTGCTATGTGTTCAGCCATCTGGGGATGCCTGCTATGTGTTCAGCCATCTGGGGATGCCTGCTATGTGTTCAGCCATCTGGGGATGCCTGCTATGTGCTCAGCCATATGGGGATGCCTGCTATGTGTTCAGCCATCTGGGGATGCCTGCTATGTGTTCAGCCATCTGTGGATGCCTGCTATGTGCTCAGCCATATGGGGATGCCTGCTATGTGCTCAGCCATCTGGGGATGCCTGCTATGTGTTCAGCCATCTGGGGATGCCTGCTATGTGTTCAGCCATCTGGGGATGCCTGCTATGTGTTCAGCCATCTGGGGATGCCTGCTATGTGTTCAGCCATCTGGGGATGCCTGCTATGTGTTCAGCCATCTGGGGATGCCTGTGGGCATGTTGGGTGTGGGTATTCAGTGGAGTCATCAGGGGAGAGAGAGAACTTCTGCAGCCAGGAAACACAGCGGTAAAAGCATGAAGGTAGTAATGCAGGATAAGATTACAAAAAATAGCATTTTATAAGCAACAAACCATCTATGAAACCAAATCAATTAAGTCTTAAATAATTTCTTCCAAAATTAAATTTGGTTTCCATTTTGGCCTATTTAGGCATATAATTTGATGACATTTTACGTGTGAAAAAGAAGCCTTAAGCTTAAACTACAGTATTTAAAAAAAATAGTGTGAGTTTTTTAACAAAGTCTCATCCATGCCTATAAAAATTGTTTAGCTTTTTCTCTGAAGCTGAATCTTGTCTTTTTGGGTTCAGCTTGCAACATAACAAAGAAATGCATAAACATAAACTACATTTGATGTTTTATTAAGGTCATGAGAAACAGGGAGAAAACAGGCCTTCTTTCCATGCAGTTCAGAAGATTAACAGGTTTTTGGTTTTGAGACACTGATTATGTGTATGAGAAGAATATTTGTATGTTGCATGGAAGGATGCAAAGATATCCACATGATAATTGCAGCCACACTGGAGCACTCATACCACATACAGAACCAGTGATCAGACAAAGGAAAGAAATCACAACAGCAGGTTTGAGACCCCGACAGTTTCTACACATTTTGGTCTGAGAAGTTAAGGATGATGCTGAACCTGGTACAAGACTTGTTCCCGGCCAGATTCTATGAAATGACAGGTCAATATGTTGCTACAATTCACATTCTTAAATCATGTTTGTGTACAAATGTATGAGAAAATTCAAACCTTAGTGAGCAGATATTTTCAGAAACAATTTACTTCCCAATTAATTGAACTTAAAATATGATTGTTAAAGTGTTTTAAGTGTGCAGGAATTTATCTCATGTTAAAACAATATTGCATGGAACACAATACTAAGAAATACAATGTACAAAGAAAATGTTCATAGAGCTCTAATCAATTTTGCAGTTATTTTGCCAAGAACTGGCGTCATGAAATATACCCATGCCAAGTGATAACCAATAACCATGCTAAGCCTCCCTGCTAATCCCAAGATGTTTCTAACTGAAGACGTTCTTCAACTGTAAGCTACATACATATTGTCAGTACTGGTGAGACACATGCAAGGACATACACAGTCTGGTTACATGGCACATTGAAATTGACATGAAATTGATACTGATCAGTGCCATGCCTCTACTGCCCTTTTGCTTCTGGGTAGTAACAATAGATAGGCAATATACAAATATATACAACAGTGGGTTATGCCCATTTCAGAATAGTGTTTTTCAGTTTGGCAAATGTGTTCATGACTTTAGGCTGGGGTTGAAAAGCCACAAGAGAGGCCGTAAACAGAGAGTCGAAAGCTGATGGCTCTACATCTGTGATCATCGTAGAGTCATATAATCTCAGCTCAACCTCTCATTTGGCTTTCATCCCAAACCCTGATATAAACAATCCTTACACTCACATTTTCAAATCTCAACTGACACAACTGAATCTCAAATGTAATGATAATCTGAGACTTATAAAACCAGACTTTTTGGACCATTTTATTGAGAAGGCAAGACAAGTTGGTTTCCAATTTTATAAATGCAAATACCACATTTAATGGCACACTCATACATATGTGAACTCAAACAGAAATTTGTCAAAGCACTTCTTGATAAATTAACAAATTACCAGTAACTGAGCAGTTGAAAAAACAAAGAACATTTAACAAACAGTGGAAATAAATATGAGAGGTGCCTTCTCAAACCACGCTTCACTCACACAGATGGACTGCCACTGAGCCTCATCACACATAACCTTCAATGACATTTACACATGTAAAATCAGTCTGTACAATTCATGTAAAATTAACTTTGTTCCAAAACTATCTGTACAGTGACTAGATGATACATCATTGTTTAGGCGGTGACCGGAAGAATCCACTCATAGGGGGTGGACCTACCGTCGCCGTTTGTTGCCCCTGGGGTGGGGACTGCATTGGGGGCATCCCCATTGGGGGTGGTCCTTGCCGGACTGTGGGAGGGAGCATACCTGGGCTGAAGGAAGGACCAGGGGAGGGGTTTTGTCCACGGGAAAATGGACCTGGTGAGAAACCTGGGGGTGGTTGTCTGGGAATCCCCTGCGGTGGCGACCCAAGGGGCGGGGGACCTGCAGGTACACTCATAGGGGGAGGCCCTAACGGTGAGGGGCCAGCTGCAGCTCGTTGATGTGCTCCCTCAGGGCCAGGCATCTGGGGTGCAATCCCGAATGGGGAGTACAGCTCCTTGAGGAACAGTAGCACTGTGTCTTCCGACTCCCTGGGGACAACAAGGCAAGGTGTTTACAATAGGATCTGAACAGGATGCCTCAGTGCACAAACCATCTTAATATCAATTATCATCTTGCGCAAAATGTGTATTTTCAGCAACAGAGAGCTGTGCTGTTAAACTGAACTTTCATGTTGGTTATTAAAGCAACCACATCAGACCTATTTTGACAGTTTTAATTCTTATCATGAAGTCTGGCCCCAAGTGAAGGTTGGTGAGCTATGTACTCTCTCATTGTTACTCAGGGCAGATGTGTAGAGCTCAGTTTACTAACATGATACACAGATCAAACAATACCAACATTCACTTCCTCATGGTCCAGAATCCATATTTTCAAGAAATAAAAAAATCAACAATAATTTTGACTGTCCCGTTCAATGAACAGTTAATGATCTCATTCCTTGCTCTAGCACTAATACATGACTCCATGTTTGTGACTTTGCATTCAAATGTAAAAACCCTCAAGGAAATGGTGTTATACTGCTCCTGTCAAATGCCAGCCTAAATGTAGGTCTTCTTCAGAAATATATTGAAAGATCCTCCTGTTTAAGATAAATACTGAGTGCTCTTACGTTCCTGATATTCTGATTGAGATACTGATCTGACAAGTAAGGGATCTCACCAGTAACAGCCGTGGCTGGCCAGGGCAAACAGGTAGTCGTTGAAGCTCTCAATAGGTTTCTCCTGCAACACAAAGTCCACTCGCCGGCCTTCGTTCAGCTGCCCCATGCACAGGTCATCATCGTGGCTGGACGCAACAGCTGGAGCACAACACACAGCAGTGGAGAAACACAATCCATGGACTCTCAGTACCAGTAATACTCAATACCTGGTGTCTTATCGACCTGTGTATGACAGCCCCAATAGGGTGTTAAATGTAGGAGTTAATGTAGTCATAGCACTACGATCACTTGGAGAAACAGAGCACTGATCATGAAGCAAAGTCTCTCCTAAGGGAGTAAGATCGGATAAAAGTCAGATAAAAGTGATGTGAATATATTCTGAATGGAGACACTTGTCTCTCAAGGAGTATTAAAGTACTTACTAGAGATGTATGACTAGAATATGACTAGTTCATGTTATACTTGTGATTGAAACCAATCAGATTTATTTTCACCTGTCATCAATGTACTGCCCGACTTACATCCAGTCTCGATCTTGTCCTCCTCATTCTGCTGCTGCAGCTGCTGGATGACGCTGGTCATCTCCTTGTCCATCTCCTGCTGCAGACTCTCTGGGGTCGCTGCCGCGCGGTGTGCCATCGCAAAATCATGGATAGAGTTCCATGTACTCCTAAGGGAGTCCATCAACTTGTTTTTCAGGTCATTTCCTACCCGAGTTAAACTCTCTCTCAACTCTGAAGTACAGACACATTTCATTCACAGTACATATCTTGTTTTCCAATGTCGATGTTGGAAATAGTCATAACATCAGAAATACCTCCAGACTACCAACATGATGAACAGTGATAAGCTATTTCTGGAATAATAAGTTCTACTAAACAACTAAATGCTGCGTAATACATGAAAATTTCAGGAGTTTTGGTATACAAAAACAACTTTGTCATCAATATGTAAGATATATATATATCCATGCCCTGTACTTAAGAAAGTCTGAACCAGTTGATCCAGATATTGAAAGTATGAGCAACGATCCACCGCATCAGATCATGCTGACATCAATCAGTCAATGATCCACCGCATCAGATCATGCTGACATCAATCAGTCAACGATCCACCGCATCAGATCATGCTGACATCAATCAGTAAACGATCCACCGCATCAGATCATGCTGACATCAATCAGTCAATGATCCATCCCATCAGATCATGACATGCAATCAGTCAACGATCCACCGCATCAGAGCATGACATGCAATCAGTCAATAATCCACCGCATCAGATCATGCTCACATCAATCAGTCAACGATCCACCGCATCAGAGCATGACATGCAATCAGTCAATAATCCACCGCATCAGATCATGCTGACATCAATCAGTCAACGATCCACCGCATCAGAGCATGACATGCAATCAGTCAATGATCCACCACATCAGATCATGCTGACATCAATCAGTCACCGATCCACCGCATCAGAGCATGACATGCAATCAGTCCATGATCCACCGCATCAGATCATGCTGACATCAATCAGTCAACGATCCACCGCATCAGATCATGCTGACATCAATCAGTCAACAATCCACCGCATCAGATCATGCTGACATCAATCAGTCAATGATCCACCGCATCAGATCATGCTGACATCAATCAGTCAACGATCCACCGCATCAGATCATGCTGACATCAATCAGTCCATGATCCACCGCATCAGATCATGCTGACATCAATCAGTCAACGATCCACTGCATCAGATCATGCTGACATCAATCAGTCAATGAGTCAATGATCCACCGCATCAGATCATGCTGACATCAATCAGTCAACGATCCACCGCATCAGATCATGCTGACATCAATCAGTCAACGATCCACCGTATCAGATCATGCAGACATCAATCAGTAAACGATCCACCGCATCAGATCATGCTGACATCAATCAGTCAACGATCCACCGCATCAGATCATGCTGACATCAATCAGTCAAGTGGGACCATCCTAACCATTATAGTGACCACTTACAACCAGCAATATGGTGATAGGACCTACTTCACACCACAATCCCCACAGGGTCGCAATAAACCATCTTCATTTACTGATCATAACGCAAATAAGTTTTCCACGCAGCACTGACCTAGATGCAGCCTCTTCCGGCCCTTATGGTGAGGGATAAGAACTGGCTTGATGCTGCTGGCAGCTGGGTTGACTAATGGCTCCAGTCGGTAGGCAACCGGGTCAAACTGAAACAACAGAAGGATTCTTGCCACTGTCTCAAACTTTAGGCTTTATGTCATGGAGATGTAACAATTACCTCACCTGTGTCTCAACCATCGATTTTTACAAATAACACAATGTAAATTGATTCTAAGCTGGCCCAATTATTTTCTTGTTTTACAAAGAACCTTTGCCAAATTTGGCAAAAGCTAACACATTTCAACCCCAAGACTGTTAATTAATGCTATGATTAAAAATAAACTTAACTTTCTATACATGCTGCCATACCAAGCATCACAATCAGGATGAGTTATTGAGTATGGTTTTATGCTGCATTTAGCAACATTCCAGCAATATCATGACAGGGGATATCAGAAACAGGTTTCCTATAATTTACCCTTGTGGGGAATCAAACTGAGGCCACTGGGATGATGGTGAACACATCAACTACTGGGCTTCCTTACCATCCCATTATCAAGGTGAAACCAAGGGTAACAATTAGCAACACAGCCTGATACACTGACCTTCCCTTCAGCTCTTACTTGTAGTTATTGTATAGGAAGTATAGATGTAGTATTGTATATAAAGTACAACTACAGTATAACAAACTCCATGAGGACATGTGCTCAACCTGTCTGTAGTTCATCACTCACCAAACCAGGGGCACATTTCTGATTTCTCCCCACTACCCAATAAACAAACACTAGTCCCCCCTGGTTCTAATGCCACCTTGTGTCCAGCGGGAAATGTGGCATCATAAACAGGTAAACAAAACGGACTAACAGACACGGATAACATATAGAAGATTATATACCGGTGCTCATTCATTTAAGCTTAAAGAAAAGGATATTTTCATTAACATCAAATTACACATAATTTGTTTGTTATTTTAAGAAAGTGAATGATTCTCTGTGTGAGGATCAGCTGCAAAAACAACTCAGATCAATGCAATTCGTCTGTAGATTTAGAAGATGAAATTTTCTCCAAAAGATTAACTACATTGCCAAATTCTTGTCAAAATGTAAAACAAATGTCATCAGGGAATCAAAACGGTTGTCCAAACATTGGCATTGGCATTATAACCAGGGGTATTATAATCAGGGAAGACTGTATTTATGGTTATATTGTGGATCTTATCATTCAACTGCATTTGCCATATTGGCAACCTAGAGAACCAACAACTGCAGTGCTAGAATTCTGTCTACAGAATATGTCTTTTCACAGATGCCATAAAAACAGGAGTATTTACCTGTAATACTTGGTTATGTGGGTGTTGCAACAGTAAGCTGTGACAATGTTAGTGTGTGGGTGTTGCAACAGTAAGCTGTGACAACGTTAGTGTGTGGGTGTTGCAACAGTAAGCTGTGACAATGTTAGTGTGTGGGTGTTGCAACAGTAAGCTGTGACAATGTTAGTGTGTGGGTGTTGCAACAGTAAGCTGTGACAATGTTAGTGTGTGGGTGTTGCAACAGTAAGCTGCGACAATGTTAGTGTGTGGGTGTTGCAACAGTAAGCTGTGACAATGTTAGTGTGTGGGTGTTGCAACAGTAAGCTGTGACAATGTTAGTGTGTGGGTGTTGCAACAGTAAGCTGTGACAATGTTAGTGTGTGGGTGTTGCAACAGTAAGCTGTGACAATGTTAGTGTGTGGGTGTTGCAACAGTAAGCTGTGACAATGTTAGTGTGTGGGTGTTGCAACAGTAAGCTGTGACAATGTTAGTGTGTGGGTGTTGCAACAGTAAGCTGCGACAATGTTAGTGTGTGGATGTTGCAACAGTAAGCTGTGACAATGTTAGTGTGTGGGTGTTGCAACAGTAAGCTGTGACAATGTTAGTGTGTGGGTGTTGTAACAGTAAGCTGTGACAATGTTAGTGTGTGGGTGTTGCAACAGTAAGCTTCGACAATGTTAGTGTGTGGGTGTTGCAACAGTAAGCTGCGACAATGTTAGTGTGTGGGTGTTGCAACAGTAAGCTGTGACAATGTTAGTGTGTGGGTGTTGCAACAGTAAGCTGCGACAATGTTAGTGTGTGGGTGTTGCAACAGTAAGCTGCGACAATGTTAGTGTGTGGGTGTTTTCAACAATAAGCTGTGACAATGTTAGTGTGTGGGTGTTGTAACAGTAAGCTGCAACAATGTTAGTGTGTGGGTGTTGCAACAGTAAGCTGTGACAATGTTAGTGTGTGGGTGGGTAACACCATTTTGGTAGTAGGGATTTCATTGTATATCACAATATTGATGTCTCCATAAATTATTAATATCAATACTGTATCATTACGAATGTATGAATATTGATACTAACTTAAAAACTCACTTACCATGGTTAAGATGGACATTAAGATGGCAGGAGATTTAATATTAAACAGTTTATGATTCAGCTTTATTCCCACTCAGTATTCAAAGGAAAAATTGGAGATCTTGATGACAAGTTATCTACACCCAAACAGAATAACTTTGTTACTAATCAATATATTTAGATATATCAATGGTAAAATTGTCTTATATATGCTCCCCCTATCCGTTGGTGTACTCAGGTGTAATGTGTGGATGTGCATTGTGGGACTCACTGCCATGGCACTCACTCGCTGGTTACTCACATAAGAAAATATTGATTAGGATTGCTGTTGAAATATAGCTTGCTACAGGCATTAAATCATTACACAGAATTTGTTACTTGCATGAATATAAAATAATAGTATATATCACGGTACACTCACGGGGTGGAAGATGTTGAAGACCCGGGAACAGGTGGGTAGCTTGAACTCCTCCCCCACATTGTCCACCCCCCGGACTGACAGGAACACACCGATCGGGGAGCCCATGGCAAACAGCCCGCATGGCTGGAAGTCCAGTTGTGGGTACTGCACGATTGGCTGGCCAGTTCCAGCCAGGCCACAGATGTAGTCTACTGATATACTGGACGTCCTCTCCAGCCTCCTGCAACACAACGGTACATGCAGAGTTGTGGAATGGCAACAGAACAGATGGTGAAAAACTGTTGCAGGAATCTGTACTTAATACTAATGTACTTCCACAACTCATGGATCTGTAAAAAAATATCAGAAAATCACAAAACACATGTCCCACGAATTAAGGAGATTTCAAACTATACTTGTACACATCATCATGTCCTGTGGAATCATGTGAAATCTTCAAAGTACAGTAAACTATGTTTATAACGAACACGCTTATAATGAACTCTGGTTATAACAAATTTAAATTAGTGGTCCCTTTTAGCGTTATAACCATAGTTTACTGTAGTTTATTTAATTGATAATCACCCAAATCTGCCCATACTTTAATAGTGAAATAACTGTGGAATTTTTCATATATTGTGTATTTACAACCACCCCACTTCTGTTGCTCTTACATGTTGCCAAAGTTCTTATTTCTGTCTTCTCCTTCCCGAGCTCTCTGTTCTTCTCTTGCCTTCTTCTCTGCTGCTTCCTTGGCAACATGTTCAGCCTGTCGTTTCTTCTTCTCCTACAATGTCAAGTTTATAAATCATCCAAGTCAAGCTGGTTCCATCACAATCTAAAATCTCAGCATATTTCACCTAATCATCCCAAATTGGCCCCCATGGGAGATATCATTAAGCGATATCTTCTATAAAGTTGAAAGCACAATTGGAGCACAATGTTTTGCAGATCATTGTCACATCACTAATCTCTGTCAATGAAGCTGGGTAGGTATATTTTTTACACTCAAGACACAGGTTAATACTGCTTACAAACTGAAAAAATGATTTTGGATGATAACTAGAATCACACCCTCATGTCTTTTGATAGCACCTACAGCAAATCTTGATAATAAAAAATTTAAACTCTGCAAAGGGGTTTTAAACTTTGATCGACGAGTGCTGACAGCATATGCAAAAGACAGTTGGGTGAGCTTCTCGATTTATGTAACTCCTCAATGACTCTGTGATTCAGTCCATGTGAAAGGTTTAACAAGTTACCTCCTTCTCTGATTCTTCTTTCAAAATACCCTGTAGTTTTTTACGTGGTCCCATTGGAAGCCCAAGATCCTTCAAATCCGATTCGCTGCACATTATCTGAAAATAGAGCAGCTAGCGATCACTACTAGACATGTCCACAACAACTGTGACTCTACTGGACTATGTAGAGATATTTCACTTATAACATATAGATAACCATCATATCTTTAAACATGTTAAACTGTACGACGTATGTGCTTTATGGCATACAGAGGGTGAATGTGGAAGTAATGGAATGTGGACGTCTTTCATCATTCACCTGAAATGCCTTCATTTTCAGTATTGTTTGTACCAGTTCAACTCCCCTGGTACCATGTAATAATCAGTGTAGATCTATATTTCTAATCTCATTTCTTTTGCTGGGTATTGGATTTACAACATTTAACCATGGTAACATAATTAAGCAGTCCACTCAATTCTGACAAGTGGGACAACCTCTGTGATTTAGTGCAACAGCTTCTGCCCAGGTAGCTGAAGGTCGGGGGATTCAATCCCTGGCCGCATCATACCAAAAGATGTCAAAAGATGGAACATATTATTACTCTGCCTGGTGCTCACCATTCCACAGATTCATGTCTATCTGCTACAGACACATCCACCTACCACAGATTCCATGTCTATCTGCTACAGACACATCCACCTACTATTGATTCTATGTCTATCTGCTCCAGACACACCTACCTACCACAGATTCCATGTCTATCTGCTACAGACACACCCACCTACCACAGATTCCATGTCTATCTGCTACAGACACACCTACCTACCACAGATTCCATGTCTATCTGCTACAGACACACCCACCTACCACAGATTCCATGTCTATCTGCTACAGACACACCTACCTACCACATATTCCAGGTCTATCTGCTACAGACACACCTACCTACCACAGATTCCATGTCTATCTGCTACAGACACACCTACCTACCATTGATTCCATGTCTGTCTGCTACAGACACATCCACCAAACATTGATTCCATGTCTATCTGCTACAGACACACCTACCTACCACAGATTCCATGTCTATCTGCTACAGACACACCTACCTACCACAGATTCCAGGTCTATCTGCTACAGACACACCTACCTACCACAGATTCCATGTCTATCTGCTACAGACACACCTACCTACCATTGATTCCATGTCTGTCTGCTACAGACACATCCACCAAACATTGATTCCATGTCTATCTGCTACAGACACACCTACCTACCACAGATTCCATGTCTATCTGCTACAGACACACCTACCTACCACAGATTCCAGGTCTATCTGCTACAGACACACCTACCTACCACAGATTCCATGTCTATCTGCTACAGACACACCTACCTACCACAGACACCTTGTCTATCTGCTCCAGACAAACCTACCTACCACCGGTTCCATGTATATCTGCTACAGACACACCTACCTACCACAGACACCTTGTCTATCTGCTCCAGACAAACCTACCTACCACCGGTTCCATGTCTATTGGCTACAGACACACCTACCTACCACAGATTCCATGTCTATCTGCTACAGACACACCTACCTACCACAGACACCTTGTCTATCTGCTCCAGACACACCTACCTACCACCGGTTCCATGTTTATCTGCTACAGACACACCTACCTACCACAGATTCCATGTCTGTCTGTTACAGACACATCTACCTACCAGAGATTCCATGTCTATCTGCTCTTGCTGGAACAATCCCAGTTTATCCTCAAGGCCAACTTTGGAGAGAAGTTCCTCCAGGGTCAGACTTCCTTGACCTTCATCACCATTCACATCAGGGGGAGACAACTGCAATGAAACGATAACTGAGCAAATGTGGAGATATTACAGGATCACATTCCAACGTCAATAAAATCAGATCTTAGATCTTGCTATGGCTAAACAAAGAGCAGAGGACATCCCATTATGGGTCCTGTCAGAACGACCTTTTTTCAGACCAATCCGAGTGGGAAAGTGGCAGTCGGAATATGTTTTTTAACTGCAAAAAGGTTAACATGGGGGATTCCGCACGATAGATACAGGCTGTACAACTGATTCCATCAAAATCGTCAGTCTCTCACTTCAGTTTGATAAACATTTGAAACGGAAGGAATTTCCATAACCTGTGGGAAGTAGTGCCACATAATCTTGACCATCTATTAGACATTCCGGAATGTTCTTTTGTCCAGAATAGAGAAATTTGGCAACATATTTTCAAAGCGTAGTCTGAAAAGGCAGTCGCCAGTTTGTTGTGGCATAAAGGTGGAGAAATTTCTGATTGGCTAATGAACATTTCTTGTTAGTCATTTCATTGGTTGGTCAAAGGTTGCGAAAGGTCGTTCTGACATGTGCCATGGGATGTCCTCAGATCTTTGTTTAGCGGTAGTGACAACTAAGATCTGATGTTAATGAGTTTGGATCACATTTCTGCTATCCAGTTGACACATAAAAAAAGGACACTGTAACTGTAAAACGCTTTTTACAAAAAAAATTCTAATTGTTCCCAGCATTCATGGCTAAGCATCCTTTTCAATTAGGAAACAACACTTGTGCCTGCAGGCAACAATAGGATTCGTTATATTGTACACACAACATGTAATCCTAACTTTTATCAGTCATCTTCATCTGCTGATGCACGCTCATACCTGATCATCCACTAGTGCCCAGATTTCTGTAGAAGCATTGTTACTAAGCTTTGGTGTACATGTGACAATTGCAGTAGCAAGCAGATGGAAGCGGCTGTATGGTTGTCTCTTGCACATAAACATGATAAACACTGTTGTAAATGTCTTACGCAATAATGGGTAAAACACCTAAAGTCTGATAATCAACAATATTGAATTAAGTTTTTGAACTGCCGGTAACAATTCCAACAAGTTACACCCCTACACCATACAAATGATGTGCCATTTGAAAAAACAAACTCACTTTATATTGGTCAGAGACAGTGCCAATGTGTCCACCCTTTTCAAGTACAAGATTGAAGACTGACAGCCACATGACATAACTCTTACCTCTTCGGCTACCGGTGAGTCCAGGTTGTGGGGCTCCCCTGAAGTGGTCTCCGAGCTGAAACTCGTCTCCCCATCAGCATCCACTCTCTGGTGGAGGAGGAGGTCAAATAGGATAGATGAACCTGGAACACAGCAACACCTGTAGACACATGCCACACATGTGGGCGCAGATGTCAGACACATGGACAAAGATGTCAGACACATTGACACAGATGTCAGACACATGGACAAAGATGACAGACACATGGACACAGATGACAGACACATGGACACAGATGACAGACACATGGACGCATATGACAGACACATGGACACTGACAGACACATGGACACAGATGATACTGATGGACACAGATGATACTGGACACAGATGACAGACACATGGACACAGATGGCAGACACATGGACACAGATGACAGACACATGGACACAGATGACAGACACATGGACACAGATGACAGACACATGAACACAGATGACAGACACATGGACACAGATGACAGACACATGGACACAGATGACAGACACATGGACACTGATGACAGACACATGGACACAAATGACAGACTGATGGACACAGATGTCAGACACATGGACACAGATGACAGACACATGGACACAGATGACAGACACATGGACACAGATGACAGACACATGGACACAGATGACAGACACATGGACACTGACAGACACATGAACACAGTTGATACTGATAGACACAGATGACAGACACATGGACACAGATGACAGACTGATGGACACAGATGGCAGACACATGGACACAGATGACAGACACATGGACACTGATGACAGACACATGGACACAGATGACAGACACATGGACACAGATGACAGACACATGGACACTGATGACAGACACATGGACACATATGGCAGACACATGGACACAGATGACAGAAACATGGACACAGATGGCAGACACATGGACACAGATGACAGACACATGGACACTGATGACAGACACATGGACACAGATGCCAGACACATGGACACAGATGACAGACACATGGACACAGATGACAGACACATGGACATAGATGACAGACACATGGACACAGATGACAGACACATGGACACAGATGCCAGACACATGGACACAGATGACAGACACATGGACACAGATGCCAGACACATGGACACAGAAGACACACACATGGACACAGTTGACAGACACTTTGACACAGATGACACAAGTCTAATGACACAAGGACACAACTCACCCAAACTGTGACCAGCCACTGACACAGTGCCCTTGAATGATGGTGTTCTTGACAGGAAGAGTTGATACAATCTGTTCATCTCGTTACCAACAGTTCTTGATATAACCTGCAGCAAAGTAACAGTTGATAAGCACCGAAGAAGTAGTCCATCAGTTTCTAACAAAGCAATTCTAACATCCCAGCTGGTTGTCCAACTCCAAATGCATCCTGACTAGATCATTTAGGCTTCCAGTGAAGGCAAGTGACATAAAAATATATTCTGTCTCTAAACCAACATCCTAGCTCCCCATACCTCTCACGGAGGGATTGGTCCATCAATCACTTATGATTTGTTTTATATGGAATAAAAATATTTGAAATCCCTTGATATAGAAAATACTTGATTTATTTGATGAAAGTGCATCACACCAACAACATAGCCGAGTGTGATATTCTAATGTCAGGTCAGTACAATGTCAATAACATCACACCCGCATCACACCAAGGTGTTACAACACAGCTGAGTGTGATATTCTAATGTCAGGTCAGTACAATCTCAATAACATCACACCCGCATCACACCAAGGTGTTACAACACAGCTGAGTGTGATATTCTAATGTCAGGTCAGTACAATCTCAATAACATCACACCCGCATCACACCAAGGTGTTACAATACAGCTGAGTGTGATATTCTAATGTCAGGTCAGTACAATCTCAATAACATCACACCAGCATCACACCAAGGTGTTACAACACAGCTGAGTGTGATATTCTAATGTCAGGTCAGTACAATCTCAATAACATCACACCAGCATCACACCAAGGTGTTACAACACAGCTGAGTGTGATATTCTAATGTCAGGTCAGTACAATCTCAATAACATCACACCAGCATCACACCAAGGTGTTACAACACAGCCAAGAGTGTACTGACCTGACATTAGAATATCAGTGTCAATTACATCACACCAGCATCAAACCGAGGTGTTACAACACAGCCGAGGGTGTACTGACCTGACATTAAAATATCAGTGTCAATTACATTACACCAGCATCAAACCGAGGTGTTACAACACAGCCGAGGGTGTACTGACCTGACATTAGAATATCAATGTCAATTACATCACACCAGCATCACACCAAGGTGTTACAACACAGCCGAGGGTGTACTGACCTGACATTAGAATATCAATGTCAATTACATCACACCAGCATCACACCGAGGTGTTACAACACAGCCGAGGGTGTACTGACCTGACATTAGAATATCAATGTCAATTACATCACACCAGCATCAAACCGAGGTGTTACAACACAGCCGAGGGTGTACTGACCTGACATTAGAATATCAATGTCAATCACATCACACCAGCATCACACCAAGGTGTTACAACACAGCCGAGGGTGTACTGACCTGACATTAGAATATCAATGTCAATTACATCACACCAGCATCACAATGAGGTGTTACAACACAGCTGAGGGTGTACTGACCTGACATTAAAATATCAGTGTCAATTACATCACACCAGCATCACACCGAGGTGTTACAACACAGCCGAGGGTGTACTGACCTGACATTAGAATATCAGTGTCAATTACATCACACCAGCATCACACCAAGGTGTTACAACACAGCCGAGGGTGTACTGACCTGACATTAGAATATCAATGTCAATTACATCACACCAGCATCACACCAAGGTGTTACAACACAGCTGAGGGTGTACTCACCTGACATTAGAATATCAGTGTCAATTACATCACACCAGCATCACACCGAGGTGTTACAACACAGCCGAGGGTGTACTGACCTGACATTAGAATATCAATGTCAATTACATCACACCAGCATCACACTGAGGTGTTACAACACAGCTGAGGGTGTACTGACCTGACATTAGAATATCAATGTCAATTACATCACACCAGCATCACACCAAGGTGTTACAACACAGCTGAGGGTGTACTGACCTGACATTAGAATATCAATGTCAATTACATCACACCAGCATCACACTGAGGTGTTACAACACAGCCGAGGGTGTACTGACCTGACATTAGAATATCAATGTCAATTACATCACACCAGCATCACACTGAGGTGTTACAACACAGCTGAGGGTGTACTCACCTGACATTAGAATATCAATGTCAATTACATCACACCAGCATCACACTGAGGTGTTACAACACAGCTGAGGGTGTACTCACCTGACATTAGAATATCAGTGTCAATAACATCACACCAGCATCACACCGAGGTGTTACAACACAGCCGAGGGTGTACTGACCTGACATTAGAATATCAATGTCAATTACATCACACCAGCATCACACTGAGGTGTTACAACACAGCTGAGGGTGTACTGACCTGACATTAGAATATCAATGTCAATTACATCACACCAGCATCACACCAAGGTGTAAAAACACAGCCGAGGGTGTACTGACCTGACATTAGAATATCAATGTCAATTACATCACACCAGCATCACACCAAGGTGTTACAACAAAGCCAAGGGTGTACTGACCTGACATTAGAATATCAGTGTCAATTACATCACACCAGCATCACACCAAGGTGTTACAGCACAGCCGAGGGTGTACTGACCTGACATTAGAATATCAATGTCAATTACATCACACCAGCATCACACTGAGGTGTTACAACACAGCCGAGGGTGTACTGACCTGACATTAGAATATCAATGTCAATTACATCACACCAGCATCACACCGAGGTGTTACAACACAGCCGAGGGTGTACTGACCTGACATTAGAATATCAATGTCAATTACATCACACCAGCATCACACTGAGGTGTTACAACACAGCCGAGGGTGTACTCACCTGACATTAGAATATCAATGTCAATTACATCACACCAAGGTGTTACAACACAGCCGAGGGTGTACTGACCTGACATTAGAATATCAATGTCAATTACATCACACCAGCATCACACCAAGGTGTTACAACACAGCCGAGGGTGTACTGACCTGACAGTAGGAGGGACTAGTGTAGAAGAGGATGTCCATCAGTGTGTCGTTGACGAAGTAGCGGAGTTTGGGGGTACTTGGTAGAGTGATTCCTTTCAGACGTCTGAAAAAAGGGCATCATGTTTATGTTATTATGTAGTCTGGGTTGATTTCTATGACATTATCCTCACCCACTGGAGAGAGTGTGTGTGAGGGGGGGGCTTGCATGTGATAAGTGATGGATCTAATACTGCCTTGAACTATTACAGTAATGCTATATGTTAAGCCAGCATGACATGTCACAGAGCATTCACATGTACAGCAGGGGAAGCACTTAATCATTGTTAATTGGGATTCTAAAACCACAGCCAACTTATTCTGGTATGGTAGAGACAAACTCTGCTCAACAAATTGCTTTTGACCAACAGGATACCTACAAGCACAATTATGTTGTGTTACAATAAGGCTAAAAAATAAAAATTCTTGGTTTCTAGGCACCGCCGCATCATTATAAAGTACGCCGCATGTTTGGTTTTTATTTCGATTTTCAAAACAAAAACAAATCCTTATATATTCCATGTGTTAAACACACACGACCCCAGCAGTGAAATGCTACAATACTTAAAAACAACACAATCCAATATAGCGTGCACTTACTTCCCTTCACAAGCGCACTTATGTACTGCGCATCTAGTGTTATGAATGGACTTTTTGATAAAACATCACTGGATATGATGATTTACAAATTCAATGGTATTTGTGTACTGTATGGTTTCATATGCTGGGAATAAGATAACATGTGTATTTGTCTCATGAAATAAGCCGGAAATAGCGATCAGCGGTTTGCACATTTTCTCCTCAATCTATGGGTGATTTTGTTTAAAAAACACTTCATGTCATGACTGTATCATAACTGAAAAGAAAATTGTGGGAAGACAGAAGACTTTGTATCTCTTACAACTAATGTTCGTTTAAAGGCAAGTTCACGGTTAGTTGATGTGATTTGTCGATTTTGCTGAAATGAATGAACACAGTGAACACTGTAAATCCAGATAGTGTAACGATAGGAGTAACTTGCATACTTCAGTACAGATTTGTTGACATTCTTCTTCTGGTGTTATGTGCTCACGAGAACGTTTTCACATTGTGAAATAGAATCAAAGCTCATTGTATGCATGCATTATGCATTTACTGGTAGTCCAACGGTAGTCAAATATTGTATTCCAGTGTTTTACTCATCAAGGATTACATTAATGTGGGGAGGCCCCTTCCCAGGTTGATTGTACATAACTGTTTATTTGGTTACAAAATAGTTTAAACAAAAACAACAACAACAAAAACCAAAGCCGCCCACCCACACTATATTTTCAAAAGCCATTGCCTGAGAACCAATTCTTTTATTTTCTTAAGCCTCACATGCGATGTGGCCAGGTGTGTTGTTACCTGTCTATTCCGGTGGCATCCGAGTGAAGAGAACTATGCCAATGTACTGGAAGGAATTCCACACGATGTACTCGCCCCTCAGACTTGTAGCGGTGGAAGTGGGAGTCCATCAGACCATGAGATATCGAGCGGAAGTCGTCCACTGAAAACAGGCAGTAGAATGGATTCAAAAACAAACTCACACATGGTGCACATCAAGCATCAGTGTACTCAAGTCAACCTACGATCCAAGTCCTCCCGACCAACAGAGCTTTAACATGTTGATCTGATGCTGACATAAAATCTTGACATTGTACTTTATGCTTTGATACAAAGATTTGTCTCCCCTTTGTCACGTCCTATTCCAGATCTGCTACATCATTATGAATACAACAGAATACAGAATTATGATGTATGTGTGTTCAAAATGTAGTCAAACCTTGTTATCTCAAACTCCTTTTTGGTTGTTAACACCATGAATATCTACTCTGTACTCTTGACTGATTGTCAACACAGCGTGAAAGAACCATTAATTCACTCTGGACAGGTAATCTGTCATTTCTCAAAGCCAAAACACTTTAAGTAATAAATATGTTCCATCTGTCTCAATACTACCCGCATTTAAAGTCAACTTTAGTACATAATACATGTAGATATACTTAACATAAACAATGTCATTATTTAACCTGTGACATACGTATTCAATATAAACTATTCACAAACATAAAAAGCATATTTTTGTACATTTTTTGCAACAATGGTAAACGTTCATATTCCAACTCACCACACTCCACCAGACTGCGAAACTTGACATCACAGTTGGCGCCGATACCATGGACGACAAAGACTAGATGATCTACATTGGGAGTTTCTCCTACAAGTATAAAGAGTGCCATGTTCACAGAATGCCATTGTTCAACACACCTCAGACATGAAACAAGCTTTTGACTGAATGACAGGTTTGATTATACCTACAGCCAGGTTTTCAGTTCAAAACTGTCTTAGAACAAATTCTTACCATCTGCGATGTTTTCAAAATCATCGACACCTCTTTTCACCACTCGGGGTCTCATCTGGTCTCCCTAAACAGAAACAGATCTCAGTTAGATCCCAGACTTTCATAATGCACAACATCATACAATTCTTCACAAGGTTTGCTTGTTGGTTTGTTGTTTAACGCCACACTCAGCAATATTCCAGCTGAATGGTGGTGGCCTGTACATAATGGAGTCTGGACCTGACAATCCAGTGATTGACATCATGAGCATCAATCCACACAATTGGGATACCATGACATGCATCAACCAAGTCCACGAGCCTGACCACCTGGTCCAGTTAGTAGCCTCTTATGACAAGCATAGTCGCCACTGACGGCAAGCATGGGTTGCTGAAGACCTATTCTAACCCAGGATCTTCACAGGTTTCAAGTAAAAGATATATTGTCAGTGTAGTGAAATTGAAGACTTATCCAATAATCAAGTTGCCTGCGACATTGTCTGATCAATACATTCAAATGACAAACTTACTCCACATATATAAATCACGAGTCTGGAGACAAATTCAATGATAGACTTTAGCCTTCTACTTTTAAGGCATATATTAGTTCAAGACAATTTCAGAGCGAGTAAATGACGTTACACACAGTAGTCGCAATGTTGTAGATACATGATGGCAGTGTGGATATGTTGAGGTAGGCCAAGACAAAGCAACCACTATGACACTTTTTTCCCTGGTGGTCACTCATAAAGAACCATTCATTCTCAGCAGACATTGTGGCCACCAGATCCACATATTTGCCTGTTTGACAAGCAAGGGGAACTTGGTACAAGGGGTCATAGTGACAGCATTATCTTATCGTGCAGTGGTGCAGAAGGATGAAAACATTTAACTATTAAAGTATTGAAAGTGTTAAATGATAATAACAAGGGCAAAATGGTAAACCCATGAGCCACGAGATGTTCCACCAGGTATTACATATGAAAGTGTCTCTGTTAACGTGGTTAGATATGGAGGGGGCTCACATACAGAAACATAATATAGCATCTTAGATACTACCACATGATAATTGTCAAAGAAGAACAGATGTGACTTTTCCCAGTGGAGTCCAAAGAGTGAACTGCATGTGTAAGCAAGTTAATTGCCTGAATCCACACAACATTGTGTGCTTTCACATTTCCTGTGCTATTAGTAGTGACCCTTACTGGACAAGGCAACTCCATTGTACATGCTTGCACACAACAAACCATGCACTGGACACAGCATAAACACTGACCATTGCTGACCACAGAACAATGGAAACACTAACCAATCATCTACAGGAGAAACCGATTTTAGGATGACATAAAAAAAGAAAAGCCTGGAGAGTGAGGAGATGACCACACACACATATATAATATATAGACTAGGAGCAGCCATTGACGAGGGGCTGAGCAGGGAAGATAAGGAATGAATCATCTTCATCATAGCAACTACTTCTAGTCACACAACAAACAATGAAAGGTACTAAGATCACTTAATGGCATCAAGCATGAGAAGAACATTAATATTTTGTAGGATTCAAAATGTCCTGTGGTACATATGGTTATGGTTATGACAAGGACAGTTTGACCGTGTTCATCTTAATGTTATGATGTAGACAGAGTTGTTGAAAAGAGAGTATCAAAAATAGTTATGAAAAATTGACAAAACATTTGATAAACACAACCTTGAGCTGTGTGGGTGATACCACTGAACACACTGTTGTCAAAGAACGCATTAGATGCCATAACCTAGAAACATTCTACATGAAAATACATCAGCTAAACACAAAAGCTTCTAATGCCAAATGAAACACATGACAGGATCCACAGGCAATGTTCAAGAAAGCCTTGTAATGAATTTCAATTACAGATTAACTATTGTTTAGGAAAAGAAGTTCCTGAGAGGAGTGAACGAACATAGCAGCTTGTTATATGTTATGATGAAGCAGTGTCATGCAGATGGGGCACACTCACCGGCAGTGAATACACACTCTGACAGAAAAATGGAAGAATGAAGATTATATTCCAGACTTGATCAGAGAATATATGCGAGATATGAAAGAGTAGGTTTGGACAAACAACAGAAATGTATTGACTTGTCTACTGCCGACAGCTGTCTGGTACATGAACGTGGCACAGCTATATGAGGGAAGCTGGTGAATCTAAGGAACGCTACACAAAGTTCTGTCCTAATAAAAAGGTCCTGGTTTGCTGGAACACAGTTACTGAGAGTGATATACAGTTATAGGAAGCATTAGTATCTTGTTTATGCAAGTTATATACAGAATATATGCTCCAATAGCATATGATAAACCAGCCTTCAGCTACATGTAGTTGAAGCCATGATTTGTTTGTTTGTTGTTTAAAGAAGCATTCAACCATATTCCAGCAATATGACGGCAGTCTGCAAATAATCAAGTCTGGACCAGACAATTCAGTGACTGACATCATGAGTTAGTCGTCTCTTAAAACAAGCATAGTCACATTTTACAGCAAGCATGGGTTGCTGAAGACCTATTCTAACCCGGATCTTCACGGGTGTGTAAAAACCATGAAAATGTCTTCTGTAAAACAAGCACTTGGCCTGGCCCAAACAAAGAAAACACCTTGTAGTTTGCCTTACATGAGTTACTGTAAATATACATAAACATGCTTCAATAAGGTTTGGTTATCGGTTACATTGAAGTAAACATGAATAGTGAAATGAAATAAAGTATAACCGTCGATGAACAAAAAAAGATCAAAGAAAAAATGTGAGGTGAGGTGAAATTGGGTTTAACGTCGCGTCCAAGATTATTGCACTTATATAGCGACGTGCATGTATGTGTTATGTTTGTGTGGCTGCTTGTACTAGTCCGGACTGATGCCTATTTATGCTAGCTCACTGAGATACCATGCCGCAGTTAAACATGAATACCCCACTCAGACACAGTATACTGACTCCGAGCCGAACCAGTCCTTGTTTTAGCCCCTTAATGCCGAGCGCCAGACAGGGTAACAACAAGTACCATCTTTTATCGTCTTTTGGTATGACGCAGCCGGGGATCAAACCCCGGACCTTCCGCTCTCCGGGCGGACGCTCTACCACTAGACCCCGGAGGCGGTCTAAGGAAAAAAGAGAAAAAGCATGACAGTCTCAGAGACAGTCTCAAAGAACCAGAGATAACAGAGACAAAAGTGTGTTCTGTAAGCTTTTGGATAAATAACAACATCAAATTGTGATGTGTCTCCCGGTGTTTCCTGCATCCAAGCCCAGGTTATGTCCTCACCCGACAGATGGACTAACACAGATCAGTTGCTAGCATGCCAGTGTTTGTTTTTACCAGTAACTATGTTTAAGTCACACTGATCATATCTTTTCTAACATATACTTAACACAGGACCTTTTTATTAAGCAAAATGAAACATAGCTTACTTGGACTGCCTGTTTGCCAAAGGAAATGAAAGAGAAAGAAAAACAAAAGACGTTAAAACTAGCCCACTTCTAGTACAATATCTACATGATCCATATCTACAAATAAACATCTCAAAGGAAAAATCGGAAAGTGGATAAATATTATGTAAGAATTAATTTCACTGCTAACATGTCATAATATATAATTAAATTAATCATGGTTTCTCAACATTGAAGTTAATAATGTATATTCAGTTATGACAATATTAAATCAAAGAATCTGTCATGTCCATTTCTCATGTATCATTATTTATTCAGTTTCCATTAAAATCATTAAATCTACCAGTAACATCAACTAAAATTAGGAACATGCACATACTAGGTTAAATACTATCAATTGCAGATCAGTTATCATGCAAGTGATCTGAGATTTCAGCATTCAGGTGAACAACTGGGTTTGTCAATGTGCTACTCAACTAACATGAAAACAGTTAGCTCTGCCAGTGTACTACAGCCACAACATGTATGACAGTATTACAAGTCCCAGAATGTGGGAGAGAGCAAGTGACATCATCCCTCCAGTTTTCTTGTCATGCTCTCAGGAGTGACATGCTGCTATTATGTTTCATGGTGTACCCCATTGTTTCCACATTCTAAATTTTTATTCAAATTTGCATCATGCTCATGAAACATGGCAATCAATGAGAACTGGAGGCACGTTTTTTCATTATTTCTTTCAAAGAAAGCAAATGTACACTAAATTGGTCAATTAGGCAGTCTGACACATGGAAGTCAAAATCACAAATAAAAAAGATTTAGCAGAAGTTTAAGATACAGAATATCTCATGACATACGAGTGACATGACAATCAATCTCCTGTTTGTAGTGACATCTGTCATTATATCAGTCAACCAAGCAAGTCAAATTAGGTACCAAATTTCATTGAATTGTGTTGTTACACACATTACATATAGACAAATAGGAACTGATCACATGCTGGTAGTTCTCAAAAATATGTCAAAGGTAAAACCAGATAAATCATTATTTCCAATGGAGAAAACAATGTCCCAAACCAGCTGCCGTGCATTGACTTCAAGTGAAGGGATATACCGTTACAGCAACGTTAGGGCAAGTTGTACCGGGAAGGGGGCTTGGGGGTTGCCTGGGCAGGATGAACAGGAAGATGCGGTGACACTGAATGGTATGAAATACACACCTGTACATTGCCCCACTCATCAGGCTGAGATGAGGCCTGGAAGTGCACGATGACATTGGGGTTGTGCATGACGATGGTTTCCCCTCCTGGAAACTCAAGCCTCTTGTGCCAGCTGTTGAACTGGATTGCATTACGGTACTCCTCCTACAAAACGGGCACAGACAAGGATGTGGTTATCAGTCACATTGTGATAAGAGGGAGTGAGCTTGGTTGAACAGTATCTCCTTTAAGCTTGGTCGAGTTAAAGCAGCAGGAACATCCAATTGGGATCGATGACATGCATCAACCAAGTCAGCGAGCCTGACCACCCGATTCCATCAGTCGCCTCTTACGACAAGCATAGTCGCCTTTATGACAAGTATGGGTTGTTGAAGACCTTTTCTAACCCCGACATTCACAGGTTTCCTAAGGGATGAAAGTCACTGCAGTTGACCATTGACAAAACCCACATGAGCAGGGTGCTGACAAAGGGTCCATAACAAGCACATCATTGCCAGGACATGGGAAGCAGCTCACAAATACTGGAGTGGCACCAATGAGTGAGTTAAGATTTAAAGTCACATCGGCAGTATTTCAGCCATATCGTGACTATAGGCAGCAATGAAAGTGAACAAAGACCATAGTCTGGTGTTCAAATCTAAGAGAACTGCACCACTTTCAACCACTTGCCTATTTTTATCAGAACTGGACAAATAAATCATGTTCTTTTGTTCCCGTTTAATGATGTTGAAACATATTCTTACAGAATCAAGTTCTTGTGTCCCGGATTCAGCATACAAACACGTACCTCTAGTTTCTGAGCAAAGTCCTCCCCATAGGGGACGTATCTGTTGTCCCCCTCTCTCTTGTAGAACCAGGTGCACCTGCGGATGCTCGTGGGCTCCTCCTCCCAGTACACCGCGCTGCGCAGCCGCTTGCCCACATTGACGTCGTAGCGCCCACCGATAGCTGGGATCACGGTGTTCTCAGGGTCATGTCGTGCAGCTGTTAAACATACAATGGGGATACTGGCACAAGTGCATGGTATGAGTTGCCACGGTATTGCAGTATATCATGGCGTGTCTACAAGCACTATCCCAAACTTCCTCATATTTTATGTAGACTTTGTGCAGGTACATAATATCTGTAATGGTCAACAAGTGAGCCGTATATACCACAGAGCAGTCCACGAGCCCCAACTTGGCTTTCAGCATCATTTTCCAGCAGTAGAAACTAACATTTTTGGTCCACTAGTCCTTATAATAACACATAGCAAAACCCTTAAAAATGGCAAATATCCACTAGTCCTTATACCTTAACTATTGGTCAGTTTGGCAAGGACCATAGGACTAGTGCCAATTTCTAACCCTGTTTTCAGTAAATTTTAGTGACATCATTTGGCACTCATTAGCTGATCTTACTAGACTAACAGAATTTTACAAGACACGGCTTCAGACTAGTGGCTAAAGTGGCAGGCTGACATTGTCAGTTTATTCCTGTTTATTGTGAAAAGAAACCCAAAGTGATGAAGATCCTAGACCTCAGCACCCTCAAGCATGGCCATGATGCTGACAAACCCTGGACCAGCAGGAGAGCAATAGTTGTCAAGGGCTGCACAAACAAGGAGCAACTGGGCTCTTACAACTTGGAATGCAGGACATAAAGTAGATGTTCACAGGTTTATGCATCCTCTGTATCCCCAGGGCTAGCATTTCGGTGAACCGACACCAAGCTCAGACCCATCCTTGTGGTTCTCACAATGTGAAATTTGCCATTATTTCCACTTGCCAATTTGATAGCAATTTACCTGTCCTGGATATTCATGACCACTTTACCAACCAATCAAACGCTGACATAAGGGAGAGGGAAAGCAGGGTAACTCGTATTACCTAGACATCGAAGCCACTGCCAACTTTAATGGAAATGAAGACATCCTTTCCATCAACAGATTTTTTAGGGTTTTCTTTTGCGTGTCAAGTCAGTTTTTCAATGTGGAATTTCTCGCAAACTGCATCATAATCAATGGGACTAGCCTACCCCTCACCGAGGCTGGTTTGTAACTGATATTCTGATTAGTACGTTAGACCTAGTAGTGTAGCCAATCAAATTGGCAAATGGAAATCAAGGGCAAATTTAACATTGTGAGAACCACAGGGATTGGTCCAGGGGTTAGTGTAGGTTTACCGAAATGCGAGCCTTGGAGATACAGAGCATGATGTTCATGATGGTCTTATATATATGAGATGAGGCTACCTGTCTTATAACACTCCTCTATCCTGAGTGAGTCGAGGAGAGAGAAAGGGAACCACACATCCTTGTTTTCCACATTCTTACAGAAGCACCAGTGAGCCTGCACAGGCTGGTACACCAGGGCCGCACCACTCAGAGGCCCCGCCCCAACCTGTGGGGGAGGTTGAGAAGCCTGTGGGTCGGAGGACATGGGAGGGATCATGGCTGTGGGTGGGTGGGGAGGAGTGGACATGGCTGTGGGTGGTGGCTGGAAAGGGGAGGGTTGTGAGAAGGGGGTCGTCTGGGGTCCAGGCGGGGGGATGCCTGTTGTTGCATATGTCCCCTGGGGTGGCTGGGCGTAACGCAGGGGACCAGTGTTGCGGAACATGTTGCCAGTGGCTGGACCTGAAAATAGGTGAAACATGGCACTATACAACCGCCCAATAACTGTAGTAACACGTATGCTCCTTGGTACATTTGAACGGGGTGTAAAATGACCAAATTGATAGATAAGATGCAATTACCAAGCCTGTTACAGATTAGAACTCCTTGCCATGCTTATTATTATGGAAATCTTCTCAAAATCATTAATAAAATTAACAAGATAAATAACATTATAAAAGAAATCATAAGATATACACTATGATCGGAGACGAAAAAATATCACAACAAATACCTTCTTCACAAACCATACACTTGAGGCAAACCTTATTTTATCATGTGTATTACATAAAACAAATATTCACATGGTCAAAGTAGAAAAGAAGAATTAATCATATATTTTTCTCCTCTGAGTATATTTCTTTGTTAATTCATGGGCCATGTATGACACTGCTGGGTCCAGTACAAACTGATGCAGGACACAAACAACAGGAGGAGCAGGTCTGTACCTGGAGTTCTGCTTAGTATTTGTACACATTAGTTTTTGTCCACTGATTCTCTTTTGAGTTGTCACTATTTTAGCATCCAAATGCAAGGCCTCATAAAACGTGTTACTTAAACTCTCGATTAATACTATATACATGGTAAAAACATAATGAAACAAGGTTGGCCTTTAACACTACAATATGTACAAGCTGTATTCAAATACAGACCTCAGATAAACTGCGTAGTTGTGTAAAATGCACAATATATCACCAAAACCCAATCCAATTGGAGTTGTTGCATACAAATAACCATGAAATAACTAAGAAAACCAAGACATGTGGTATAATGACACTGTGCGTAATTACCCAATGTAGCCTTTTCAGTTTGTGTACCGGTATGTCTTTAGAGATCTTTATTTACTGATTGAATGCAGGTACAACATATCTACTGCAGTGAAATAATGCAACAAGGTGCTGCACCTTGCTTATTCATTGTAATTTAGACTTCTATCACTGTTGTGAGCTTATGGATATAACAAGTTACCCGAAATAGTGTCTTAAGAATTATGTATGAAAAAGGTTCCCTTTATGTATACAAACACCCAATAGGTTGGGCCCACGAGAGTCAATCTCATTAAAATCAGATCTTAGTTCTCGCTACCGCTAAACAAAGATCTGAAGACATCCCATTAGGGGTCACGTCAGAACGACCTTTCATCCGACCAATCAGTGCGTCGCTTACCAGATTATGAAAGTGACAGTCGGAATGTGATTTCTAATCATGCAATCTCGAAAACTTTAACATGGGGTATTCCGAACGATAGTTACGGGTTTAACGACCGAATCCTTACAATCTAGACCATCTATTAGCCATTCAAGAATGTTTTTTTGTTCAGGTTTTAAATTTGTAATCGAGAATTTGTCAAAATATGTTTTGAGGCGGAGTCGCCAATTTGAAATTTGTGCCGTAAAGCACGAGAAAGGTGCCTTCTGATTGGTCATTCCATTGGTCGGTCAAAGTTCGCGCAAGTTCGATCTGACGTGACCCGCAATGGGATGTTCTCAGATCTTTGTTTAGCAGCAGCAAGAACTAAGATCTGATTTTAATGAGATTGCACGAGAGTTAAACAATACTGAATGTCCCAAACAACTGTGACTACCCACAGCATGCACAGTGAATGACAACAAAGCTTGTATCTGGAGCCCTGCAAACATTCAACTATAGCTTCAGTGCTATCTGAAGGGATACAGTTCACCACACATTTTTCCCCAGTTTGTGCATGTTGTATATGTGCCTTTCACATTCATGACAAAGTTAGGATAAACAATCAAATATTGTGGTTCCAACTGAATTACCATCACTTCTTGTATTTAACAAAACTTTGCTGAGTAGGTTCAGTATGATTTGTTCACTATACACACTGTATAAAAAGGGCATGTATTAAATGGAATGTCCACGAGGGTGTTAAGACTGGCATCTGATAATTAGGATAGTTGAGAAATAGGAAACTCAGCATCTTCTTGTGACCTTACCAGTACATGATTTAGAATTCAGATGAGGTTAAATTTGTTTGTTTAACGCCACACTCAGCAATATTCCAGCTATATGACAGCAGTCTGTAAATAATCGAGTATGGAACAGACAATCTAGTGATTGACATCATGAGCATCAATCTACGCAATTGGGATACCATGATATGCATCAACCAAGTCAGCAAGTCTGACCACCCAATCCCGTTAGTTGCCTTTTATGGCATGCATGGGTTGCTGAAAATCTATTCTACCCCGGATGTCACACTCACAGTCAATATAACAACCTGGGATAGTGTGGGCAAATAAACAAACCTGAATGTGGCACTCATCAGCAGGATGACTTCATCAGGAACATCATACATGACTATTATTTGTATATAGTCCACTGCTGAGTTAGTTATAGGACTAGAAGCATTAGAAATTAACTGATTTGAGTTACTTGTCTCATGATCAGCCACATGTATACGCATTCCAAAGTTTAGTAATTCCACAAGACATACGGATACTTTAACCAGTAAATGTGTTGGTTCTACTAACAGCGACCAGAAAACAAATGCCACCTTCTAAACATGTTTCTTTATAAAATATCCAGCTATCTTACACTGAACTCTGAAGATGCCCCGAAGCCTTAAAAGCAAACCATGTCAACCCTATTTCTGTTTCCACCAATATTAAATTGGGCCACTGGAGCACATTGTGAAAGGCACAAATTCAAACATGTCTATTCTACCTTTAGGTGGAGGACCACCACCGAGCATTGTAGGCAGACCAGACTGAGAGTGTTGAGGGACAGACTGAAAGTTGGACACCCCTGGCATCCCAGACACTGGGGGCATTGGTGGTGTGTTGCTTTGGGGTGGGGCTAGAGGCGCCTGCTGACCAATGTTTGCAAAAGGATCACTACTTCCTGGCATCCCTGAAGATTGTGAACCTTGGAAGTAGTTGAAAGAATTTGGTTGAGGAGGACCTGGTTGCCCCATGGGTGGGGCTGGACCCTGGCCAACAAAACTGTCCGCTTCCCCTTCTTCATCTGAATAAATGAATAAAAGAAAATAATATGTACAAAAACATTTTCAAAAACATCTTGAACAATGCACTCAATATGCTGAACAGTATTAAAGGGGCACTAATCTCTGGCTTCTTCTCGGCTGTCTGACACTGGCCGCTAGGACTCACAAGCTGCCGTGAGTCGATTTGCTCGCTAACGCAACTGAGTGTGACAAGAGACTGGGCTACCATCTGCAAGGACAGCTAAATAAACGTGAAGACAATTTTTTTTTTACGCATTTTTGAACACTGATTGGTTACCTGTGATCTATGAAGATTTCGACAAAGGGCACATGTTAATTAATTTCTTCAGCCTAAACCTGTAAACAGACAAAACGAACGACGGAAGCTCATTGGATGTCGTTATTTGGAAATACCCCTGATGGTTATAGTTTGATAACAAGACAAAAAGTGAGCAGGGCTCACTAATACCCCCGACTTCAATTCCAACATATTTCTTAGTTCAAAATATGAAAAAAAAATTCATAAAAAAAATTGGAAAATTAATAAAAACATTTATTTTTCTTTTGACTGCACCCCTACATATGACACAGATTATATGTACTAAGTTTGAGATGAATCCACTGAATAGTTTAAGAGAGGGGTATAATAAAAAAAGTATCCCTGCAGTGAAAGCATTTTCGGATTTCGGATTGCGTGGATAATACGATTACTACTCCCTTGTTGTCATCCATGTTTTCTAGTATAACCCTACACTTGTGTATTTGTCGTCATTCACTTGATGCTCAGTTAATGAATTTATTACAGGTATAATTAGTGGTGGCACCACTCAGATTACCTGATGAAGGTTCCCATTTGGCGTTTCTTGTGTCTGGAGTAATTATTCAATCTTAATCCAGGTTTGAAGTGAGGTGAAATGTGTGTTATGTAATATGCACGTGGCAGCCCAGAAAGAGATGAATGATCAGTTGATTTACTTTTTTGTAAATCAACGGATCATTCTTAGCCATCAAAGGATCGCCAGAAAATATGTTGATTAATTAATGACTGTTATCTTGCACAGTGGATATGTCAAAAGTAAGTATTTACATGTGTAGGTTTACTAAAGCAAAGGGAATACACTCATATCATGGCATGAAGTGCCGATGTAAAAACAACATACTTTTTTCAAAGGGTTAACCGATAATATGTTGATTGATCGTTGTTATCTAACTCAATGGATATATTTTAAAGAACTGTGGATATTATGAAAATAGTTGTCACGTGGGCTTTCTCAGCTGACCATTGAGACTTGACACCTATGTGAAACAAGTGAAACAAAGTAAGTGATCAGTTAAGAATTGAACATGGGTTATAATATCCCGCAACGATATATATATTTTACAAAATTTGATTGTTACATAGATACCTGACATCAAAAAAGTTTCTTTGTACAGCTGTAGACGTTTGGGATTTTGATCCTTTATGTGGATATTCACGGATACATTCCTCGAACAAGGAAGCTGCCTAAAATTATACATATAACTTTGGTAGGTTGTAATTATGATATTTGCATTTTGCTTTCATTCATTTGATGTAGGATTGAGCAGAATATTCTTGTTCCTCTACGTCTTGGTAGGGAAGTTCTTCGATGCGCGATAGACGTTATAGTCAATGTGTAACATGTAATCCACTCAGGCAATTTATAAAATGTCTAAATATTTCAGTCATTTAACAAATTGACAGAAAAATCTGTCAATTTATTTAACATGTTTAACAGATTGACTAAAAATTATCAAGACGGACAAAAACAGATTAAAATAGATTAATTATGCTAGGATTAGAAGCCAAACAATATACAAATGTACCTTTAATCCTAACATTTTCAGGCACTTGGTGATGATATTAAACATAAAAATGTTTGGAATTCGTTATCATAATAATACAGATGGACATATTTGTCAGTCAGTGGTCAGTTTGTAAAATAACTGAATATTTTGGCGTTTAATAAATTTCCTACATGAAAGTTTTGCACATTTTGACTGTAAAAATATAAACATGATAAAATAAGCAATGCTAAGGTGCAATATTTACTTTGTGTTGCAAGTCAAAATAGTGTAACGGAAAATCGCACAGTTAACAAGTGTGTTAGCAAGTGACTTATCAAAACTTCATCACCATTACCGATGCTACCCACAAAGATACCTAAATTTCCTTATTATTTCCAAAAATGTATTTCATTTTGTTGATCAACAATGATCAATGTGACCATACGCCTTTATACTATCAATAAAAGTGACAATTACAAATTGTGCAGATCAGTGTCCCTTTAGCCCCAGTGGTGTTCTAATGAATCAATCATACCCTTAGTTCTTCAGTTTTTCAGTAGGTTCATCTTGTTTCAACAACAAAAAGTCATACAAGAAAGGTTCTTCACATTGTTGTGACGATATTGTATACCATTCTACTACTAGGTGATATGAATGTTTGTTTTGTTAACCAGTAACATAGCAGCCTGCAGATAATCAAGCCAGACAAACCAGTGGTCAATAATAAGAGCAAAGACCCATATGCCGTTGGTGTACAATGACTTGGTATGTATGTAACGTCGTCTTTCCCATAACATCATGGGATCAACCAAGTCAACAAACCTGACCACCAATATCACATAAGTCAACTATCTCTTACGACAAGAATAGGTAACTAGAGACCAATACTATCAAAAAAGCCCATGGCCATGGTTTAACTATCAATTTACTTAAATTTGCTTTAGACGAGATATTGTTCCAAAATTCAAGGACCCTGCCATTGCGATATTATAAATACAGTTCCTGACATTAACCATGTTGAAATTGTTACGGTGAGACCACGAACATTTCAGCAGAAGTTGTTTACCGGAAAATATGAATGCAGTGTTTCCTTAAAACTACCAAAATAACAGAATAAATTTCAACAGTACACATTTTTTGGGATGTGATCTCAAAGTAAATATTACAACACTGCGTCTCATAAACACAGAAAAGTCAAAATCGTCACAGCTGACATTTACATCTGCTATATTTATTCAGCATACCTGGTCCTAAAAGTGAAGGTTCTGATTGAATAATGGGCATCAGGACATTCGGTTGATCAGGAGGATTAAGAGTAAGTCCACCACCAGCCGGCATCAACAGTAACGGCGGAGGAGTCGAGTCTTTCTTGCCTCTGTCAGCCATATCAACACGTCGGCTTACTACACAGGAAACGGAAGTGAGGTGCCGATCACATGTCAATCACAAGGGGAATAACTGCTGTAAGATTGAAATAGTGAACGTAAATTATAATAAACTTTATTTTCCTGTGGTTTTACTCTATATGATTTCTGATGCGGTTAAGCGATGAGACCATACTGCAAAATAGTTATAAGTTTTGTATTAATGCAATATGTGCCTTGTATTGATAGACGGACGCTAAATTATGGAAATGGTAGATTCCAGATACTCCCACGAGAGGCGTTTTCACATAAGAGTGTCACATAACACCTAATTAGTGCCATGTTAGGTCTACAACATTTCCCAAGTGTAAGATCAGACTTTCGAGAAACAACAGCACACACTTTATTTCCGCTATAACGTTTAATCGGTGATACATTATTAAAGAGTAGAAAAAACGTATTTTACAAAAAGATAATATCATTAATATGTTCAGAGACGAGGCTTAACATAGGGAAACTAAGGCAGAGAAAGAGTCAATAAAATTCCGAAAACAGGACAAGCTGACACACATCATGAATATATATAAACTTCGTGTCATTCATGTGTATTCATATTACCAAGAGTATTCTTGCCATGCACCGACAAGACCGGACCTTTTCTTTATAAACTTACGTCCAAAAGAAACTTTACCAGAGTTTGAAATCACTCTTGCTCAAAAACAACAAAACATACATGCATGAAGTAAAGTGTATTGAGAAGATCACTATATCAACATAATCAACACTGAAAATGACAATCATACCGCGACCGAGAATGACGTCAGAGCCCCCCAAAGTTGGAGGTGGTACAAAACTCGAGCTTTCAGAATCATGGACAATAGGCAGAGTACATAAACAATCGCTCACGTTCAATAACAAGTCATTAGTAGCGTGTGTGACCACCAAATGCCTCAATACACGCAAAATCTCTTCGACGCACAGAAAAAGTTTGTCGTCTGATGAGGTCACGGGGGATTTGACGCCATTCTTCTTGGAGGGCCAAGATCAGTTCTTGCCGGTTGGCTGGAGAGTGTTGTCGTTGTCGAACACGACGATCCATGATCAAGTCCCAGAGGTGTTCTATTGGGGACATGTCGGGTGAGCGTGCAGGCCACGACAGGACGTTGACGTTGTTGGCTGCGAGGAAGTTAGTGACAATTCTGGCCGTATGGGCTCTAGTGTTGTCATGCTGATAAATGACACAACGTGGCTGCTTTTGGAGAAATGGTAGGACAACTGGACGAAGAATGTTATCCATGTAACGCTGAGCTGTCAAGTTTCCGTCAACGATGACCAGCGGTGACCTCTCCTGCCCACAGATCCCTCCCAACACCATTACACTCCCTCCACCATATGGTACGACCTCCTGCACGCAACACGCCGCCGTTTGTTCACCCCTTCGGCGGTAAACACGTTGTCTTCCATCAGCCCTAAACATACAGAATCGACTTTCGTCAGTGAAGACAACCCTCTGCCAGTCACGTCGTTGCCAACGTCGTACAGTCCGGGCCCATCTCAATCGCAGACGACGATGTTGCGCTGTCATTAGCCGTGCTCTGTATGGTCTAAAAGCCCTGATTCCATGAGCCCTGATTCTCCTGGCCACTGTCTGTCGACTAACCCTGTGACCTAAGGCATTTGTCGCCGATGACGTCACTGTCAGGAAGCGATATCGGAGGTGCAAGGTACGCAAGTACCGGTCATCATTGGGCGTGGTCACCCTGGGTCTGCCTGTTCTTGGCCTGTCAGCGGTCCGCCCTGTCTGTCTGTAACGTTGCATCAAGTTGGCAACGGCAACACGGGAGCAACCGAAGGTTCGTGCAAAATGGGCGTGGGTGGCTCTCATCTGTACCATACCCAAGGCTCGTTCACGTTGTTCGACTGTGAGTCGTGGCATTTCTTTTGTGTGTTTTTTTATCACTGTGGATGTCTGACTTGCCGTTGCAATCGTTTTATACCCTTACCCGCACGTGCATTTTCAGTTGTTCGTGGTGCACGTGTTTTTCGCACGGTGTCTCGCAAACATGTAACAGACGATTAACATTTTCTGCATACACTATTGTTGTATTTAGGTTATGTGTTTTAGATAGACTTCATCGGAAAAAAAATTATACTTTGTCTGAAATTTATATTTTCAGTTGGTAAAGTTTCTTTTGGACGTCAGTTTAGTAACTGGCAAGGCAAGGCAAGACAAGGTATAAATCATAGGCCACTGTTCAAACACCATATACACGTAAAACAATATTGCGCGCAGAAAGTGCTATTCCGGTAGAGCTCATCCTCTACCCCCAGCCTCACCCAAACCAAAACCACACCCAATCCAAGTTGCCCAAGATCGAGTAATTAATTGTTAAAGTCATCTGTTTCGCTCCTCCATGATATAATATACACATTATTTGGGAAAGTCCCAGAAAGTCTCAAACTTCGTCACTTCTTAATACATACACAGACTTTAACATGGTGGGATTTGGATTAACATGTAAAGGTAAATATCGTAATCGGATAAACAATTGAGGACAAACAATGAGAACGTGGTATTCGTCTTTGGTCTAGCGGTAATTTGGGTCTAGGCCACCTACCCTTCCAATCATGGACACGTGGCAAATTAAACGAGAACGTGTCAATGCGATTCAAAAGTCAAAGTCAAAATTAGTTTATTTGTGTGTAGGCCCTCGCCCATATACAAGAAATGGAATGCCAATAGTACAACGTGAAACCAACCCACCACATGGATTTTACGACGTCATGTCTTTTTTGTATGCATAATATACATAATATTGCAGACGTTTTAATAAATCATCCTGAGTTGTACACAAGTTCAACAAACTTTTGAATTTATATATAGTTGGAAATTTCCAATACAATTCTGGCAAATAAACTTTACGTAGTTCAATATGATGTTTTCAGATGATCACGAAATGATATTCATCTTCAACAGACATGTTGCAAACAGGACACATACGTAAACATGATTCAATAGATTGCCATCTTCCCTTGTTCTGTCGTAAAGGTAAAACATTACATCAAGTTGAAGAAAATATTACACCCAAGTACTTATAACTGTTAACTGTGGGCAGGGGGATGTCTTTGTATGTCCATTTCTCCTTGGCAGATAGGGTGCCTCCCCTTCTGAAAGCAACTACGTTTGTTTTTTGTATGTTAATAGTTAGTCCCCATGTATCTGAAAAAAACCAAGGATGTTAAGCTGGGTCTGTAAACCCGCAATAGATTCAGAGACAAGGATGACGTCATCTGCAATTAAAAGTAACCAAATTTCATAAATATCTGGAAATGATTGTATGCCATGTTTACCATCAACTTTTGATAGTTCTCCTATAAATAGAGAAATTAGCAAAGGGCTAAGTATGCAACTTTGGCGCACACCATTTGGACAGTCAAAGAAATCGTTATATGAGGAAGTTTGTCTAACAAAAGATTTAACAGAAGAGTAATGGCTGATAACATTTTTCCACCCAGGCCATTACATTGCAAACAGTACCATAGGTTATTTCTTTTTACATAGTCGAAGCCTTTCTTAAAGTCTATAAATGCAACATAACACTGTTCTATAATATAAAAATATAAAAATATGATCGGTGGTGTAATACCCAGATCGGAAACCTGCCTGCGACTTTGGTATTTTGTCCTTTAGTTCTGCCCAAGCGGAAAGTCTGTTATTTAGAACACCCGTATATATCTTGCTTATAACACTTAATAATGAAATGCCCCTGTAGTTGTCTGGAATCTTCTTATCTCCCTTCTTATGTAGTGATAAAATAATAGACTAGGTCCAAGCTGAAGGAAATATATCAGAGTCGTAGATCTTATTAAATAGGCAAAAAAAATTGCATAAAACTGTCTGATGTACTCTTTAACATTTCAATCAAACTCTGATCTATACCCGCAGAATTTCCATTTTGTATATAATAAAGAGACTCACCAATTTCTTCCTCTGTAATAGGCGATTCTAGGATAATATAATCAATTTCATCTAAAGGCGAGTCCTCAAAATTAATCTGATTATCCTTGAGGTTTAAACTGTCGGACTGAAGAATCTCACTGAAATATGTAAACCAGATATTCTGAATTATAGTGTTAAAATGACTGGGCACTGTGGATATACTCCTAAGTACCCTCCAAAATCTAGCAGGGTTATTTGTTATTTATTTGAACATATCTGCCTACAAATGCGCTTATATTTATTTAAACACAATAAAGTCGCCTATTTTGAACAGATTTGCTTTTCCGAAAATGTCTTAAAGTCTCGCGAGTTCGATACTTTGCTCGCTTACAGTTCCATCAAAAAAGCCACTAGAAGCTCCTGTACATTTACGCTTTCTCATACCTTCGGCTGCTTTTAAAACAACCTGAACACATGATTCGAGAGCGCGATCAATAGAGGTTATCACGCGAGTGTGTTTGGGGATGGTAAATATCCTGCATTAGGAAGAAACATTGTATTTAGCGAGCCCATTGTTGTATTTTATTTAGAGATTTTTGGAGTAAATTTTGGGCCATTTTAATGCTCTTAATGCGGATCCAGAGGGCTCCATCATCCGCGAATTTTGATGTGTTTAGTTTGAGGATAGGCCCTCGAATAGATCATTTATCATTATAATTATTGAAGAGGGTGGGGCTGAGGATACTGCCCTGGGGAGTGCCATTTTCTAGGGGACATTGGTCCGATAGCGTTTGGTCTATACCCACGGTTATTTTACGATTGTTTAGGAAGTTCTGGATGTAGTTTATTATCAGACCTTTGAGTACTATTTTTTAAAGTTTTTGTATTAGCTCGTCGTGCCATACCATGTCGAAAGCTTAAGAGAAGACTAAGAAGATGCCTGCGGTATATTGTTTATTTAGTTGTCCTGTCTTAATATCTTGCTCTAGTCGGGCGAGGTTATCTAGGGTTGAGCGGCCAGGAGTGAAACCGCTTTGATCTGGGTTTATGATGTTATTTTGGGTTAGGTAATGTTGTAATCTATTTTTAGCCATTGATTCCATTACTT